TGCATATAGTAGCCGCTGCTAGTGCACAGGTGGTACAATGCATGTAGTTGCCGCTGCTAGTGCACAGATGGTACAATGCATGTAGTTGCCGCTGGTAGTGCACAGGTGGCATAGTGCATGTAGTTGCCGCTGCTAGTGCACAGATGGTACAATGCATGTAGTTGCCGCTGGTAGTGCACAGATGGCACAATCCAAAGGGTCGCAGGTGTCAGTGCACAGATGGCACGGATGCATATAGTGGTAACTGGCGGTTGAAAAGTGGCACTGTTCATAGAAGGGCAGCTGGCAGTGCACAGATGGCACAGTGCATAAAGTGGCAGCTAGCAGTGCACAGGTGGCAGGCACTGCCATCTGCTCCAGGATGGCAGCCCAGGCTCCCGGATCAGCTCGGTCACGTTCTCCCCGAGGTCTCCGACCCCCCCGCCCCCCAGGCCCCTGATGGGTGTAATTACTAGTGCTCATTGCGGGGCAGGATAGGTAAAAAAAATTAAAAGATCGTTCTCGATCATTACACGTGTTTTGGCTGATTTATACACATACATTTATAAAAAGTATATTGTATTCATTTTTAACCCGTTAAGGTTTCATTGTAATTCTGTATTTATATACCTAATCCTTGTAAATGGCAGAATCAATTACACTCTTCCTAAGTACTCTAGTGATGGATAATTGCAATTTTATTTCAAATCACTTTTGGTGTACAATCCTTATATATCATCATCTAATATATTTTTACTTTCGCTCTAAAATTCGTTTTATTTATTTATCATTCTTTATATTTTTCGTTCCAAATCGACGTATCAACATGCGAATCATAACATTACATTCATGTTCAAACGGTAAATGATATTGTAAATTTCATTGATATTTACAATTAGTAGTTCAGTGCTTAAATTCATTGTCAACCGAGATTAAATTTATTATGACCCCTATTCATTATATTTTATTCATTTAGTTTTTTATCCTTAATTATCATCATTTATTCAGTATTATTCATGAGAAATTTCAGCGGTAAGTCATTGTTTTAACAGCATCGAATGTGAATTAAAAACATAGGCAGGTATCAAATTTCCTCGTGTCGTCGAGTGACATGTCTAATTGACCACGTGGTCACGATCGACAGTAAATTTTTCCTATATAAAAGCCCATTATATTGTGATATTAGTGTACCCTCATCAGTTGCCTTGGTATGTCTATTGTATATGAAGATTTAAAATAACACTGATCAGGAATTGAAATTATTTCCAGGCCAAAATCTCAAGATATTCTAAAATAGTTAGCCTTCTAAAAATTCATTTGCTGATAGAAAATCGTTTACTCGTTAACTGCCTTAGAGCGATCGCTTCCACTGAATTTTTTACATTTTATTTTTTATACTCATCATTTTCAATGAAAAATATAGGCCTAATTAAGTTTCCTGTTTGAGCCATTGATTAATGAATATTTCGTTACCTTGTAACTTAATGAAGCGTTTGACTCCCCTTGGCTTGATCACGCTCACCCTAGAGGGCAATGATCATCTTATTAGACTATTTCTTCCTTCAGACCATCATGAATTGTAAAACACGAACAACCACTGAATACGTACGTGTCATGTGGCAATATTGATATTGTTGGTCCTGAAGTTTTAATGTTTTATTTCAAACGTTGTACTCGAATTTCTGAACGTGGGAATATTCGGTAGCGCGAAAACTCATGGTTGAATTAATATTAATTCAATTATGCGAAAACTCGTCAATGTTTTTTTTTAATTATTTATGAACTGTTTGCGAGTAAAGCGGAAAAGGAGGCAGCTTCAATATACTTATGCATAAATTTTCATATGAACTAAAAACGGAGTCACTACAAAAAAAAATAGAGTTTCGTACCTGAAGAATCAGAAATTCATTCATTACCCAAACATTCATCAGCCTGATTTTCGCTATTCTTTGTTCTACATTATTCTTTGCTCTACAATACTTAAAATAAATTCAAGTAGCAAAATGAATATTTTTCAACAAACAGTAAACATGAATAAAAATTACATATCATTCAGTCCTTCGTAGGACTGAAGCATTCATGCGAATTGAAAACTGAACCATTGAACCAGAATTCACATGAATTAAAAACCCGCAACTGTAACTTGTTTCACGAGGTGAATAAAATGTCTTAAAACATAAATCGTTTCTTGGCTTTAAAACAATATTGATACCGTAATAAAGAACCAAAATTATAACAAGCAAGGAAAACATGAATCCAAAACTCAAATTAAAAAAACAGTTTCAAAGGAGTATAATTAATTTAGGGAGCTCATCGAAACATTTCGTTTCTATCCTACTTAGCTAACATACATTTTCCTACTTAGCTAACATGCATCTAGTCCTCTACCTAAATAACATGTCATAAAAGACATTCTTCCTACAGAAATTGAAAGTCCTCTGCATTTATCTATAGATATATATTTATTTATACCTAAACCATTTGTCATGGGCCCAAATAATCGAATATCGTTGATATCAGATAATAATTTACTTGAGTTTTACTCTAAGTAAGTCTAAATGCTAACTAATTTCAATATAAAAGCCCCAAGCGACCAAGTTCAGCACTTCGTTCATGCTTAACTTTTCTAGTTCATCATAAAGTCTAAACTTGGAAATGTTTCTGAAAAGACGAGCTGACGAGCGTAAGTTTACAAAAAATTATTTTGGATTCAACAGTTTTGCAGTCAAATGTCCGATAAACAAGTATCCTGAACATTATTCTATACAATATCCCGAACAATATCCTGAACAATATCCTGTACAATATCCTGAACAATATCCTGAGCAATATCCTGAACAATATCCTGAACAATATCCTGTACAATATCCTGAACAAAATACCCAGAAAAATGTCAGTTTGGCCGAATGGCTCCCAAGGTAATTGGGAGAAAATATTTTCTTGACTTACTCTCCGGTATAGGAAAATCGAGGCCATCAAACTTTGAATTCTCATTCAGCGTGAGCGGAAGTTCGATGTAAGAATTCAAATTAGAAGGCTTTGTGGATAAATTTTACACGGCAACAGTAAGAAAAAAATTCAAATTCACAAAGAAAGTGTGCTACAGATGATAGCATTGCATGAGGTGCCATATACTTTTAAATTTGAAAATATAAATAACATGATGTCAGAGTAGCCTTGCGAATATTTGCTGCCAGTTTAGTCACTATAGTTTTTAACCATGATGATATTTTACACGGGTTACAGGATTTGTTGTTTCATTACATCCTCATTGTAATTCTGGTGTATATTTGTAATAAAAAATCGCATACAGTTTGTAATTAAAATACTAATCCTTACACAAAAATCGTCTTGGTATTCAATTTCAAATTATTCATGTGTGTCAATAACAAAGATGGACACTAATGCTTGACGGAGTCCGGGGGAAGATGAGAGTTTCGGGCAATACGCGGACTTTCTACTTTAATTGACTAAATTTCAGTACACTTGAAAACATCAAATTTTGGGAAATGTTGAGCGTGGAATGTTTAGTTAAGGGAAATTTATTAAAATTACTTCCCGCTAAAGGGATTTTCTCGTGACATACTGTCGCACGCAAATCATTAAAGCAATCTCAATTAGAAGACCAAAGTCTGCCTGAAGCAACACCGAGTCGAAAAATCATCTTAATACGAATATCAAATTAAATAAAACAATTGAATTAAGTTAACATCAAACACTCGTGATAAAATACATAGAACAAAAACAATTCATACGCAATAAATGAAACCATCAAACAAAATATTCCCAAGTAGCTTAATTAATACCTGTAATACTAATCGGTATGAATAACGATAAGCATTTGCACAATCAAAAAAAGTTGTTAACACACAAATGAAGTTGACAAATTATCGCAGTGGACATTCATTATTGAGTAAAATATGTAGGATAAGCGACCACTCCAAACTATATCCTCCCTCGCGTTATGCCTTTAATGAAAGTTTCAGCTCATTATAATTATTATTGGTCATCATAAATAACTCTGTAGAAGTGGCTAATCGAAGCTACTTCCAACAAGCGCAATTTAACAGGCTTTTCTAATGCAGTGAAATTGATTACGGTAGCTTTATCAACATGACACATAAATAAACTTTATCAACATGACAATTTCATTATAAACCTATGAAATGCATGAATGGAATGGGAATTAAATCTCTTGTTACAACAGGAAATCACGTCTACATGAATCTGGTTCAGAACCTGTTCTGATTTGAACCAAACTATCACACCACCTCAGCCAAATGATTAGTACCGTCAACACGTCCTTCTAAAGTCACGCCTCTCTTCATGCGAGGTGGTTAAAAATCTCTTCAAACATAACGTTAAATATTCAAACCTTCAAATAAACAATATTAAGTTCGATAATTTTCGAAAGAGTTCTGTTCAATCCTGCAATGAATACCTGTTCCCATTCGTACTGATTTAAAATTTAATTCTGAAATTAAATTTAAAAGTTAATTCTTGTGTCTGTTTAAATTCTGTGTTAATTCTGTCCTATCTTCCAAACAGGAAGATAACCGTATGAGTACAAGAGTTCAGATAAGATTATAGTCTCATTAAAATTTACAGTCACATTACATGATCGAGCCATTTGATGCAGCCTGAGAGGTCCAAACAAACGTTTAGCTGCAAACCACATCTTTAACTCGTACTTTGTATCCATGGTTTCGAAAAGTGGTTGATTTTCAACAATAAGAACGCTAATACCATAAACGGAAGCCTCTGTGTTTCTAATATTTCACGAGCCCAACAATATGTAACCACAGTGGCCCAGTGGTTAAAGTTCAGAGTACCATGGTTGGAGCAGAGAGGTGCGGGTTCGATCCCAGCTCTGTGCGCCAGTTTCTGGTCAGAATCGGCAAGGAGGCCGGGCGGTTAAGCACAGCAGAATTGTAGCAGTGAGTTGCGAGTTCAAGACCGCAACAAGCTGTGAATGTTCTGCGATGTTAAGAATCTGCGACAGGCCTACGGCCTACTAAACGCTGAAACCGCTATGTTATGCTATGCTATGCTATAATGCGAGAACATAAACGAGCAGCGCGGTCCTATTCGTACTGATGCTTGAAGGCAACCACTTAGAGAACGAGAGCCCATGCAGCCTTTGCATTGTTAACAATTAACCATGTATTAAGTCTGGTCCCATAAATAATACTTTTGTAAAGTTTACAGCCCGAATTATTGAGTGAGCCTCGAAAAAAAGAAACTTTTATTCAAATATTACGCTTTCTATCTCGCACGGAAGCACGTAGTTGGATACAGTTATTTCCACTTAGAAGAATAATATTTTGAAAGTAAATGAAAAAATATTGAACCAATAATTTCACAACGTTGAATTGCATAAATTAATGAAAGTTTTAAACCATTCAGCAATGATGAATAATAAACGCATCTAAAGAAAAATATTAAGTACGAGTGCTATATTGTGTATATTTCCGGAGGCCTATGGTACATGATGTGTTGACTTCAAATCCTAATTCAATCAACATAAAGCAAGTTAAGATGACAATGGACGGGCTCAATAATTCCCGTTGAAGACGAAGTTTCCGTCAGTATCGCTGTCATCAACCTCCCGTCTCGCCTCATCATCTGGACAGCTCGCTCCCACACCGCTAAAAAATAGCATACCATGTATGAAACAAGTTATAAAAATACTTAAACGGTAACTACAAAAAGGCTTATTAGTGATACATATACTAATAAAAAATAGTATAAGTCAATGATTAACACTAAGGGTAGCAGTAGCTGGACAAACTCCAAGAAAATAACCAAGATCGTAAAGCTATGGAAGCGTGAGATGCAATGCAACGACCGTGGAAATCAATATAAAAATCTGAAGGAAGCGTCAAACAAAAACAATCAGTTCATTAATCAGTATGTTTCCACCAAATATTTTGCATTCCCGTCAAACGGTTTAGCATACAATAATATCTATAATAAGAAAGGCAGAAAATGAGACGGTCAAATTTGTGAATACGCTCAAGACTATAACTCTTGTAATCATGCTATAGAAAATAACTGGGCGAGGCGAAATTTGCCACAAATCCATGAATTATATTTTATAAAATCAAGAAACGAAAGTATGATGTTTTGAGTGCATGATAGATGTCAGCGATCCACCCTAATGATATTAGAAGATCACGAGAGAGATGCAATACTAAACGCACAGCCCGGTGTTTTCTAGAACTGAATTGTACTATTAGTTCCCGTACATTGGACCCAAAATATTGTAAAACATCAGTAGTATTGAGTAATATGATGATACACGAAATGTCCAGTGAATAATGAATCAACAAAAGTAAATTCATAAGAATACAAATGAAGCTTTCTTCGTGCATGAAGCGTTCAAACATGGAGAGAAATAGTCACAGACAACTTAATAAAACTTGTGATACGCAAGCTGGTTTGTCGCCACGATAGAAAATTTTTACGTACCAACCTCAAAGTTTCGTGTCCAAAGGCATTACCTACACGAAGAGATGAAATATTAGACGTTAATACAAAATTTTTAGACAGTAAAAACTATCTTATCAATAACATAAATGAAACCCTAATAACAAACACAGTAATTGTTTTCATAGGGTTTCGTAGGGAAACTGTAATTTATTGTTGGAAATTGCTGAACAGAAAGTAAATTAATCTCAATATTTTATGAAATGTATATTTTAATCTTCGTACTCACAGAGTTGTCATTTTGTGCTCCAATTCTTGCAGAGGAGTCATAAAACTCGGAGAGTTTGGCGTAGGTGATGATTGCTTCAACAGAAATCTGTTCTCCTGGCGTAAAGTTGTTTCCTGACGATCACCGGAGACCACAATCGTCCCGGGGACGTTTCTGGAGAACGACGTCTTGTGACGTGAGTTGTTTCCTCCTGCGTTAGACGAAGAAGAGAGTTTCCTGTGGACGGGAGTGGGTGGACTTGAGCTCAGCTTGGATTGATCACCGGGAACGGAGATGCTGGTCAAGGGAATCGTACGAGGATCGATTTTTCTCGACTCGTTGTTGAGAGAATAACTGCGGCTGGACCGAGGTACGGGATGACAAAGCTCGGGAGTTCTGAGGTTAGCGAAGTCGTCGTCTGTTCTGCTTGGGGAAAGTGATGAATTTTTCAGCTCAACTTCAGCGTTCAAGCTTGGGTCGCGATGCACATCACAATCTTCGGTGGCGGTGTCGTCCACGACTTGTGGAATATCCCCAGACCTAAAAATACGTGATAATGTCTAATAATGTCAGCTAATTTAGCGAAGAATGAAAATGTAAAAAAATAGATCAGTACTCACTGCAGTGAGTGACAGAGAGCGCATTTTCTCGTCCGTCTGTGAAGTCATGGACAGACAGACGGACGGACGGACATGACGAGCGCACAACAGCGCCTTCTTTCCATAAATGAGAACATGCGCAAAAAATAAATTAACAGCTCGAGAACCTTGGAAAAAACTATGAAAGAAACTTAACGAGCTCGGTGAGCCTAATGTCATGTATGGCTTTAATTTGAAAAACAACTTTAATACATCTATATCTCCATTAATGAATGGATGAATTTTGACCCAAATTTCACAATTCCAGAAGGATCACGCATCTTGAATATCACGCATGAGAAAAAAGGAATTGAATGAAACATATAGAGACTAAACCAACCTTCACAGAAGTTCCCCTCACGATCTCCATGCTATTTGATATATTTTTCCGATTACTAGGAATAAAAATTACCCTGCACTGCTCAGGGTTCCACAGATTATTTTTTACCATCTTCGACGACCGTTAGTAATTCTGATTATTTTGACTCATCATGGCAGCGACATCGTTATAAAGCGTATGGTGGTAATTGCTGGCGAACTTGATTTGGGGAAGAACCCAAGTGAAGAACCCAATTTCTTCACTCTGAATATCGAAACTCGACTACAAGGTTCTAGTGCAAGAAACAAAAATACTAGAAGTCGGACGGAGACTGACTACTGTTGTTCTTTTCAAGGTGGCGACATTCACCTTCAGACATGAATATAATTTTAACATTAAATTATAATATAAGTCTGAAAATAATTATAAATATATTATGATATATATTGTATATATAAATAGTTCATAAAATATATAAAATATAATATAAATATATAATAAAATTAAAATAATAATAGTAATATATTTAATATTTCTATGTAATTAATTCAGAATCATAAACCTAGACGCCACTGTTACTCACTCCTGCGAGAAGGTCTCCTCGGCGACGAGGTTGTCGCAAGAACCGCGGATGGACTCGACGGAGGCCCTGGAGAGGCTGTCGGTGGCAGGCGGTGGCAGGGCGAACCGTAACGGCAGGACGCTTCCGTTGCTGCTTGCCACGCTTACCACGTCATCGTCAAACATGCGATACCTGCACGTCAGTGTGGCATGGTCATCAAAAACTCTCGCCACGTCATCGTCAAACATGCGATACCTGCACGTCAGTGTGACGTGGTCATCAAAAAATGTCTCGAAGTGATGAAATAACATACGAACATTTCGATCGCTGAACATTATTTTGCGCAAGGCATAAACCTTGAACTTAATCCTCACTACAGTCCAACTTCAATAACGATATCTGAATACTTGAATGAAATCCGTGTTATATGAAATAGAATACTTGAATGAAATCCGTGTCACATCACCAATAACTCGCATCACCAATAAATCTCAATCAGTTAACGTCTGAGGTAATAACAATCAGTTTATTACCTCGAACGAACATGAATTTGAAATTTTTGGTATTTTTAGCGCATTTTCTCATTTATGGAAAAAATGCACTATTGTGCTCGCCATGTCCGTCTGTCTGTCTGTCCGTCCGTCCGTGACCTCAAGTTTTCGTCGACGAGAAAATGCGCTCTCTGTCACTCACTGCAGTGAGTACTGAGTTATATTTTTTTCTTTTTAATATCGCAGTGCAGGAACTATTGAAATTATAATAATTATTTCCTTCTAAGATTGCAGTGCAGGAACTGACTTGAAAGCGAAGGGGTCATCAGCAAGAGTGCTGGCGTCGTCGCCCTCAGGAGGCACGAAGAGCAGCTGCAGCGTCACCTCCTCTGCAGGCCGCGACAGCAGCGCCACTGCAGCGCTGTGGCTCATCTAACATAACAACATAACTCATAATTTATTCTAATAGGAGCACTGGATAGTGGTTCATTGAAAATGTTCGATATATCGGAGGTCTTAACCACGTTAAGACCCTTGCCTAAATAGGGTCTAGTTTGAGCCTAATAGTTATGAAAATTTTCAGATGAAAATAGTTATGAAACATCTGAAAATCTGCAAATCAGTAAAACGTGGTAAAGGGAACAGTGAAAATTCCGAACACAAGAAGCAGACATTGAAATGAATTTATCTTCTACACGAATCCGTTTTAACTGCATATTTACTGTAAAAATTGCATATTTACTGTAGTACCGGTACTGTTATATATTAAAGGAAATATTGTTATATATTCAGGGTGATATTGTTATATATTCACGGTAATATTGTTATACATTCACGGTAGTATTGTTAGATAGTCGCTATAGGACAATTGAATATGCACGGTAGTACTGTTAATTACTCAAAGTAGTACTGTTAGATATTCACTATAATACTGTTTAGTGTTTGTTAAGCTTTCGTAAGTATCATTACGCTGTTGAAGCTTTATTCAAAAAGGCAATACCACAGATGCAATGGTGTCAAGCTCGTCAATGGAACGAATATCTCACTTTAAACGCACGTTTTGTTCTGTACCGGCAAAATTCCGTAAGTTGAAATAACAATAACACCTGGCATTACCTGGCTCAAAACGCTATCCGTGCTCGCAAGACAAATATGATACAGTTTACATAGAATACACAATGAGCAAAAACTGTGCCTGTAGCAACGAATAATGCAGAATGCTACTGGTAACATGCTATATATTCAGCGCTGATAGCCTCACAAAAGCGCATGACTTTAACACGATAATCACGTTCTCCATTCAAGAGTTTTCCTCTTGATTTAACACTTTGAGTGCGGCACGGACCGGCAGGGCTGCCAGATGGCCTAAAAGAGGCCAAGTCCGCTGACAAAAATGCCTATAATTTAATATATACTAGTAAATTTGTACTTTCCAGTGAAGAAATTCAATTATCCTTTTTTCCCGTAATTTTTATAATTTAGTAAGGAACCATCGATCTTAAAAATTTTAGTCGACCAACGCAATTGAAAAAACTAAATCGCAGAATTTGTCCGGAAAAAAGACCCTTCAAGCCACCGGTGAGTCGAGTCAAGACCTGTGCGAACGTACAGCGTTCAGATCGTGTTAAGACCTGTCGGAACGTAGAGCGTTCAGATCGTGTCAAGACCTGTCGGAACGTACAGCGTTCAGATCGTGTTAAGGCCTGTCGGAACGTACAGCGTTGAGATCGTGTTAAGACCTGTCGGAAGGTACAGCGTTGAGATCGTGTTAAGACCTGTCGGAAGGTACAACGTTGAGATCGTGTTAAGACCTGTCGGAACGTGCAGCGTTCAGATCGTGTTAAGACCTGTCGGAACGTACAGCGTTGNAGGTATCAATAATACAGGGTTATGCCACCCTGGGTATGATGAGGTATCAGCAATACAGGGTTATGCCACCCTGGGTATGATGAGGTATCAGCAATACAGGGTTATGCCACCCTGGGTATGATGAGGTATCAGCAATACAGGGTTATGCCACCCTGGGTATGATGAGGTATCAGCAATACAGGGTTATGCCACCCTGGGTATGATGAGGTATCAGCAATACAGGGTTATGCCACCCAGGGTATAAAGAGGTATCAGTGATACAGGATTATGCCACCCTGGGTACAATGAGGTATCAATAATACAGGGTTACAATACAATTTTCATTGACTTCTCTCGTTAATTTCCTGAGCATTGTCACTGAAGCAATAAATATATCAAAACTACATTATGCTGAATTCAAAGCAAAATTACCGCCCTCAAAAAATTTATTAATGACAATTTGTCCTAGTGTGCATTTTCAATCTTAACAAAGTTAAAAGCCTGCCAAGGTACGATATAAAACAAAAGTAATAATTCAAACTTAAAACCTCAAATTTTGAGTATAACAGGTTTGAACCGACTTTACAAACGCACCAATAAAAAAGGTCGTTGTAATGCGGTATGACGATTAAAAAAGACGTAAAATAATTATGAATTGCAACTTGGACCGAGTAAATGATAATAACTATTGAAACAAAATACTTGCAATTGAAAAACTCTACAGGGAAAAAATCCTACAATACCACTAGCATAAAGCTCCGACACTGCTGAACTGAAGACAAGCAACAGAAACAATGTGTATTGATCAGAATAATTGGCATTATATCAACAGAAACAATGTGTATTGATCAGAATAATTGGTATATTAATCAATAGTCTATTACCGTAACAGACATGCCGAGGCTCTGGTTGAGTTTCTTGCGAATGCAGACCGTACGCGAGTAGTGCTGGGGCGAGGGCCGGAGATGGATGTCGAGTGGCAGCGCGGTTATCTCCTCTCCTTCTGCCGGTACTTGGCTACCAGAAACCATCACCTCTGTCTGTCGTGGAGAACCATAAATGAGTTCACACTGAATCATTTAAAACATAAATGAGTTCACACTGAATCATTTAAAAACAAAATTCCGACGGATATAATCTAGTAAAAATATTGTGTATGTGGTTCATTATAAAAATATTGTAATGAGGTTGCATTTACCGTTGCAGTTAAATAAAAATAAATACGTTAATGGAATGACACGCATTAAATTTCACCTGACAGAGGTGAATGCCTTCATAAGTATAAAATAAAAGAACAGTAAGTTTCTCGCAAAATGGCCGATTTGTTTTGATTCTTCCAGAGATAGATGCATTTAAATGTAAAAGGATCAAGCCACGTCCAACCTACGTCAGAAGTGTGTGCGTCGAATTAAGTAGCGTTTGTTCAACAAACTAATGTTTATTCTGTGAGCGTTGAACAAACTAGCCTAATTCACCTGCATGCCGTTATGTGCCGGTATGTTGGCTCGGCAGGCTCGATAACTCACCTGCATGCCGGTATGTGCCGGTATGTTGGCTCGGCAGGCTCGTACAACTCACCTGCATGCCGTTATGTGCCGGTATGTTGGCTCGGCATGCTCGTACAACTCACCTGCATGCCGTTATGTGCCGGTATGTTGGCTCGGCAGGCCCGATAACTCACCTGCATGCCGTTATGTGCCGGTATGTTGGCTCGGCAGGCTCGTACAACTCACCTGCATGCCGTTATGTGCCGGTATGTTGGCTCGACAGGCTCGTACAACGGTCTTGTGGCGATGCAAGTTAATTTCAGCCTCAAGTTGTCGCCAGAGTTTGTCCTGGTGTTGCTGCCAGCGAGTCTCGCGACCTAGGAGCTGCAGCTGCTGTATCCTGTGCAATAGAAACACTTCCTATGAACAAAAATATATTATTTACTGAAACTTCATTGGTAAATTTTTTTCGTGTTGCCTCGGAGCAGAGAAAGATCTTTGCAGTTTTTGGATCTGTATTCATCGTCATCGGACTTTTTTGTCTTATTAAGGGTTGGTAAACGGTAGGAGAAAACGTAAGAATTTATTCAGAAAAAGTGTCCATAATAAAGTAAATAATTATACTATTTGATTCTTACGATCCGTACGGATTATGATTATGACAGTAATGAATTTGATAAATAAATCATTCACTTCTTCAAAACAAAGTAAAAAAAAACACATTGAGCATGAACGCAAGACGCCACTGACATTCACAACCAAAACCACCATATTTTGTTCGTCACAATACAACCAAGTTAATGCATGTGATTACGGCCATGAATAAATACATAATTCTAATCCATACAGCTTCATGTTTATATGATACATGATTAAAAATGGTCAGTAATTCTAATAAATGTACAAAATTTTTGTTACCTACCTGGAAATGAATACAAGAGTTCAATCCCATGCATGGCATGAAAATGAAATGGAAAAACATATACATATCTGGAGTATTTATAGGTACTTGTACGTCAAACGATTAACAAGAATGCAGAATATTTAATATCAATATGAGAATATTATCGCTAATACAATGAACTTACTGTTAATGTTAATTTCAATATTTCAGATCCAACATGAGCCAGAACTAAGCTGTAATTTGTTGCTGAACAATTAATGCGTGCGATGAATGCGGAGCGTATATATAATTTATATTGCTATACTTCAAGGCTGATGATATTTTTAACGATTGACTAACGACGATGATGAGAGCACTGAGTAAATCAGCGTCGAATAAGAGACTGCAAGTTACGGGATTAGTGTCCGTTAGAGTCCTAAATACAACTTTATAGTAAAATCATGCAATTTAAAAAATATATATAATTACAACCATACCAATCCTGTAGGTATACTAGCCCTGAGAGCAAGCTGTGCAAGATTATCCACAAAGCTATAATTTTACAACTGACCAGTGTTCATCGTGTGTTTTAAAATCAGCACTTGTAGCATGTTAGCATAGGCGAATTACTTAAAAAAATTAATGCGTACATTTTTTTATCTAGAATCACCAGTGAAAACTTGACCACGATGACCAGCAACGTCGAATCTCCCGCGCACTGTGGCTGGTGAGCAGAGGACGAATTATCACTAGAATTCAGGGCATTGAATTTAAAACATTGAAAGTGAAGTAACGCTTGGCATACGCGGAAACCCATACCTCTAGAAAGTAAATCGATCATGGATGGAATGCGTTAAGATCACGAATGGCTGAACCGCGTTTTCGCCGAACGGTTGCATAGTAATGTGTAACAACTAACAAAGCATCGGTGTCTTACGGTATAACTGGCCTATTTTCGCATAAAATACAGGTGCAATATTCTTGTGGGAACGGCTTTTCGCGTTTTACGCGAATCAGATGCATAGTTGCGTCGTTAAGACTGGAAGTGTCGCCCTTATCAGCAAAGGGAGGAGGATAGCTCTGCTTAAAAGCCGAACAGCAATTAGCGATATCACTCTATAGTGTTAATTTTACCTACGATGTGCCGATGATCTAGGTATTCTAAGTGATTCAAGTTAGAACCCCTACTAATTCGGCTGCTTCTCGACCAAGGATAGCGAGGTTGAAATTGGAAAGACTTGGGTCTTAGATTGTCGTTTTCATCCCGTAGGGCTCCCCATAAATTTGTAAGTTGAAAATAGTGAGTTGCACCAAATTTGAAATCAGGTTACTTATAATGGCTTATGCTTCAGTGACATTATAGTTTTGATCGATTTCGATTTTCGTTTAAACATTTTCAGCTCCAAATGGAAACCGTTAGCTCAATAAATGCCCTATATTTAAATTTAATTTGTAAATAAGATTGAAGATCAAACACAATACTTGGCAGTCTTACGTATACAAATTTAAAGGTATTTGCCCATATTCGAAGCAGGTCTAAGTTTCAAAGCCGGCAGAAATTCAGTGCATACCTTTCAGTCTTTCTTTTATAGGTATTATAATACAAATCGTTATAATTTGTATAATTTCCTCTATGTATTTTCACACTTGTGGGCACTTATATTCAATGGATAACTTCCCTGCCTTCAAGCTTCATTCGAACTTTGAGTTCACTGCATGCAAATTGTGGTTGGTTCATCAGCGTTTATACTTCGACTTAAAAGTGCCTACATGAAAGTTGGCTGGGCCATTTTATATTATAGCACAGGGCAAAGAACGGTTCATCTCTTCGCGTTCTCTAACTAAACGTGGCATGAGAGTAGTAGCAAGGCCGAGATGGCCTCTTTAGAGGCGGGGAGAGAGAGCGGGCCAAGAGTAGGCAAAAGACGACAGCCTGGCTTCGATACGCCAGTCCTGCTTTTACCGGGGCTATTTTACTGCCGCCATAAAATAGATCCAGACCAAAAAGTCAGGGTAACAAAAACGAATAAACAATTCAGCCATATGTTATTTGCAAAAGTTTTGTACATATTTAATCAGCTGTAACGAAGCTAGGAAATAAAGGTTAAGGAGTTGCTAGTGAAAGATAATACAAAAAACTAGAAGTCAATGCTGTTTTTTATGAACAAAGAGCAGCGCAGCTGACTGTGGAGTGACGTCTGCGACGGAGAAAATAAAGCAAATTAGATTGAATTATAAAGCAAAGGAAATTTTAAGACAGAACATGATGGGTTGCGAGGCGACACCCGTAGAAGGGGGAATGGTAACGCCGCTGGGGGGTGACACAACAGAGTAGCAGGTAGAGTAGCAGAGCACAAAATCAACAGCGCCGGAGGAGCTAATGTATGCGACTGAGCTGTCAATATTAGCAATCCAAATAACACAAAGCATGTGTTTTTGAGGAATGTAGATACGATTTTCCAATTCTTATACCTCTTCCAGTATTTTCTCAGACTGGTGTCGTCGTTATGGAAAACTTGAAATAAGCTTCAAGCTGTTAGCCTCTTGCACACCATTTATAAATACATCGAAACATTGAGCTGACACAGAAAAAAAAGTTCTAAAAAAATACTTGAAACCAGACTTAAAAATTCGCTAGTCTTCAATAATACTTCGTCTAAACAAGGGCGAAGTAAAAGCTATCCTTTGGCAAAAGATTCACAAAACTGAAGCAGGTTAGTTAAACTTCGTATATTTATAATCAAGAAAATAAGGTAATTGAGCTCTGGCTCTTTCAAATAGCAAAATGTACTTAAACCAGAATTCGCTCCTAGTTCGATTTCCTAATTTTCTAAGTGCATTTCCACCAATAAGTTACTGGGTACGATTTGACTGCAGTAGACATGGTTTGGAGACGAAACTTCAGGTGACACCGTAGAACAGCTTTGCTCCGTATGCGGATCTTGCTCGCAAGACGGGAAATCTAGTCTAGCATCGTCGCCTGTTTTTGGATGTTTCTGTTCGTCATTTTTTCGAAGATTGCCTCTAAAGTTGTCCCAATCTCCAACGTTTTTCAACACGTTTATCAGAGCCCGGTCTATATCTTTACGAGGACATTGTCCAAAGGAGGTAGCATCAATTGCGCCTGTGGAAAACATTGGCAGAGGTGAAAAAATATGATAATAGTAACTCCAACACGTATCACTTCATTACTGATGTAAAAAAAAAACGAAAAGGTAAATCTTAAAAATAATGTAAACCTTTATGATCCTGGCTTATACTATAGAAATTATCTCAGTAGTTAAACTATAAAGAATGAATAATATGAATATACCAAATGCATTCCCTTACTTCACATTTTACGCACCTAGAAGAATTCTGTAAATGTCATGTTTCTTAAAGCTCAGTTTGGTTCTCATTCTTTTTCTATCTAAACCGGTGAAAGAGAATGTGACTGCAAGATTACGCGTCATAAGACGCTTGACCATCGCTCGAAGAGTCGCCATGAGTGATCCAGCTTCGTATTTTGGTAACGAACTGACCTGTAAGTAACAAAAATTCAATATAATTTCAATGAAATCACACTAATACTAGAAGCCTGCATGACTAAGAATTCCTGCAATACTTCCTGTAACATTTTTTTTCACAATAATTCATCACCATGAGAAAAACTATAACGAAAGCAGACTTAGTACTAAAATTTTCGACACTACTAACTTGAACGTACGAATCAGCAATATTCCATGTCACAATGAACACACACAATAATGTACTTTAATACTTACTACTTCCTCCGTAGCTAGCAGGACGGACAGCTCTTGTAGGGTATTCGCAGGTCCAATATCAGGCTCTTGCAGTGGTATTGGCTTCCTCATCATTTGAAGAATGCTCTCATGAAGCTCCTTGAGCAATATGTTGTTTTCCCTTTCAACAAAAAGTGTCTTCTTTTGTTGTTTTCGAAGTGATATTTGTTCTCTTTCAATGGCACTTAAACGTTCCTCTACTGAAGCATGACGGGTCCCTTCTGCAGCATCAGATACGTCACAAGGGGCTTCTACTTCAGCCGCAGCACTGAAATAATAAAAAAAATTTGCACTAAGAACATACTCAATATACAAGTCTACGGAGAGAGTGTCAATCACGAAAGCAGTCCAAAAAATTCACAAGTAAACAGATACCGATACCTTAATTTTACGCCAGCAGCACCAGGCTGATTTTTTTATTCAATACTCTTCCTGCTTACTTCAACGTTATAGAAATTTGCTTTTATTGTCAGTTTTCTATAACGGTTCATTTTAATAGCATATTTCTATTCATTTCTTTAGTCTCCTCGGAATGGACTGAGGTACGATTATTGTCTCGGACTCGTACATTAGAAATTGGTTTAAGCAAGGAGCGACCATCAATGTGGCGACAAATGGTATACAGGCACTGAGATACGAGCAACACTCAGGACAGTTAATTTATGCGAAGACAATTGGTCAGACCAGCTACCCGGTGGTACTGCTGCCACAATCTGAATTTGATCGCGTCATCACGGCAGTAAACGGTATTCCGACGGTATTCTTACAGTTTTCGGACAATGACCGCTCCAATCACCGTCGACATTGCAGAAATTAATCAGCTTGAAACCTGCTCATCAACACCTTCCTCGCTCATGAACACTGTTGTTTTTATTTTTGAATGAAAACAGATACAAATACCAATAACTATATTCAAATTTATCTTAATTGAAAAATCCATGCAATTAGATAAATGTGAAACAAGTAACAACATTAAACACAAACTGAAATCTTGAATGTACCCGTATGTATGCAAACAGGCAACGCATTAAAAACCAGTTCCGGTAGACTTACATTTTTCTTTTTTCAACCTAAATTATAATGACGTTGAATGGATACAAGCACTTTGAAATTTCATCACCGGAGCGCTCATATACAAATGAATGTTACGGGTTAATAAAAAATATTTATAGTATACATAATCCAATTTCAATGAACAATTTCAGGTCATATATATATTCATTTCCATTTTCCACTAAAATTTGCTATTTTTTACCCTAAATTTCTTTGTTTCGTGAAATCTAATCCCTTATTCCAGAATCGACACCAAATAAATTATCTTGCAATATCTTACAACACACACCACTCTTGAGTTATGGGCTTGTACTTGAGTTTTCGCGGCTTTTCTTCGTGTTTTCTTCAGATGGAAAACATCCAATTGAATATAAATCTAATATAAACATCTAGTTGAATATAAATTCAATTCAGAGACCTATGACAGAAAAAAAATTCACAAGTAAAATTTTTATACATGAAACAACAACTAATGTTTAGAATGATACAAAATTTCAAAGCACTACTGCAAACCTAGCAGGCTACCTCTGGAAGAAAAACCTGATGGTAAAATGATACGAGAATATTGGAATAATTATTCGCATTGCATTCTAAAAATAAGATTGCAAACATATATTACTAGATAACCAAGTTACGTATTCTATATTCTACAGCACATTTATGAAAGATTTTGAATTGTTAATGTATTCCTTCCACACCTACTATCTCAACTTAATCAATTACACTTGCCTCTCGATCAAGGTCGTCTCTTGAACTGAAGTCATTCCATTGATGTTCGGTCGTATAATTGAAAACGAGCGATTCTTGAGCAACAAGTGCTGAGCGTACGTCTTTAACGCGGCCGAATTGAGGCTTAAGGGCAAAATATTGAGGCTACCCGCGTAACAACGCAGGTCTTCGAACAGCGAAGAAAAACAGAAACAGGCTGGACTAGGATCCGTCACTCATTCGGTCCGTCGTCATTCAGGCTGGGCACAGCCGCGCAAAACTTCTGTTATTACTGGGTTAATCATTTTTTTTGTCATATTTTGCAACTTGGTCACATGTCACCGCTGAGGCACCAGGCTTAATTTTGGCCGTTGGTCGTTATAAAGCAAGAATCCTTAGCACCATAAACAATTAGCAGCCTCACCTCAATGTAAGTTGAACTAAGTTTTGAAAAGAACTTTGCATCTTCCCTGCTCTCCCATAATGATTTCGTACATCCATTCTTATTATTTAATATTATTAAGTAACATTTTAAAAAGGCACAAATTGGGTAACTTGCAGGGTAGATTCAAGATAGTGGAAATGTGAAATTTTTCTTACTATTCTTTAAGAAGACGTAAAGGTTTGCCGTGTAATTAAAACAAAAGATTTAGCGTACCGTATTTATTTTCAAATTCCTCTACCTCCTATAACTCCCCAGCGGAACAGCAATGAAGGATATCGCCTCTTTCTGTTCTAGGTTATCAATTTAACGGATTCCGAGTGATAAATGATTAGTCGGATGATAGGTGAAACGTACACCGACTAAGTCAACAACGGAAAATATGGACTAAAGTACCAAAAGTATTTACGGTAGAACGTGATTCTGAACTTTTAGATATGAATTTGATGCTGCTTCGGTAGCTAAAATCGATCTCCACAAAAAAACCACATTACGTTATAGCAAAGTAAAAGTGAATTCTCTCTTTTTACTGAGCTAATTTGCATTTCATAAAGTTCTATATGCTTGGAAAATCTTTTTGCAGACTTGGCCCAGGATCGAGGACTATTTCCGTGGAGTGGGTCACGTTGAGGCTCGAATCCTGGTTCCCGGAAATGGCGTTTTGTACTTCTTCGCCTGAGTTTGAGGCAGCGACATTACTCATGCAATCATAGAATTGTCTTCTGCCCCGATGTCCGTCCCAATCGGTCGCTCCTACAATAAGGAGTAAGGAGATAAGTTTACTTAGAATATAGTTGGCGCGTAAAGCACATATGTATATGTGAAACAATAACTCTTCGTGATAATGTTGCGAGTATTCCTACCGGATTTTAGGACTACATAAAAATTGGTTTTAATTGAATTCATTTGGACAACAAATACATATCAAAAAAGAAAAAATCTGCCATTTATTCACAACAATATTCATCAATATAGTAACTCGATACTGTTCATTATGATTACCTTTTAAAGCCCTTCGAATCGCTGCTTTCACAGCACTCCGCGGCTCATGTGAAAACCCTGGGTTCAGTGATAACGCACCTGCGATGGACACATAATCGAGCTAATCAATAACTTTACTTATATAATCACAAATATATTGTACTACAGAAACCAATAGCAATTTACGCTGCGTATAATTTAAGGTTTTTGTATTCTGGAGTTTCAGCATCGAACGGTAAAAATGACTGACTGATGCTCAGTCATTAAATATCAGTGTCACAAATATCGCCTGGAATATTTCGCCTGAAAACAACTGTAATAAATAATAAAGTAGAACACAGTGGACTCCTCTGAAACTTTTATTGTATACTCTTATAAAGAGAATAAAATTGACACTCCGAACCGTGATTATTCAATTAATAAAAGTATGTGAACAAGAAAGTAGATTTCACGTTGCCTTTCTAAGGAAGTTTTCTCAGTCTGATCGAGCCTAAGTTTCGTAGTATTTCTTTAAAATTGACAAAAAGCGTTTTTGAACTACTCACGCTCAATTAACAAGCAGGCAGGCGAATTGTCGAATTTAACCTTGGTAGGTAATCTCTTGTCCCCTAAGCCTGTCATCGAAAACTTCATGGCTAATGGTCGCGTCATGAGCATCTTCATCATGACTATGACGGTTCTCGACAAGGTGCACTCTCCGACAGACTGAAGTCCTATTAGCTGAGAACAGAGCAGGCATTCATTATATTCACTCATAGTAAAGTTTACAGAACTTGACACCATAAAACCATGCAAATAATTCAAATGCGAGATTTTATTTCGAGGTAGGAAAATCATCACAGTTGAGATATTGTCACACTAAATATCTCCAGACTGGTCCGAAACGTTTAAAAAAACTCTAGTGTAATTCCATTCCACGCACACTCACCATCTCTTCCCGTTTGATTAAATCATCCAATTCTTCGAAAGTGTTAGCTGGATAGCAAGGAAGCAGAGGAGTGCCAGTTTTGAGAGTAGAAGATAGTGGAACTTGCAATTTGTCCTTCATTTCTTTTAGTAGTAGGTTGTTCTCCAGAACTATATCTCTAAGTTGTCCCATTAGTTTCATTGGTTCATGACCATCGTCAGGTATGTGACTCCGCTCGGGGTTTCCACTGGCAATAGAGAATTGAAGAATAACGAATAATTAGCTAGATGCACGACAGAGAGATATTGCTCTGAAGAATTAAGCAAATAATTTATAAATAATTACACATTCATGTTCTTCAGAGAATTTGATCATCCTCTTTAGCATAATTTTTCAGTACCTAATTTATGATTGAACAAAGTTGCACCGGAAACATGGGTTAACGATTACACCCAGATTTGATGTATCGAGCAGTTTGAGTTATTCCCTTATTTTAGTATAGTTAATTATGTTACCACTTCTAAGTAACTAAATAACTTTTCTTCTCTGAAAAAAGTCCCCCAAAGGATTTTGTAAAAAAATGAGAGTGAAGTCAAGATTTAAGTAAAATAACCAGTCCAGTGTTTGCAACTGCTAATGCCAAACGAAAATAGCATATAATTAATTGTGGTCCTTGGTTAACCGCCAGCAGGCCATCATAATCTATAGCAGGTGATGATTTACAGTACACAATCAGCCAACCGGCAAATACTGATTGTTTGCACGTATGTATTTCCTTTTTTTTAACAGTATTATTGAGTAGCATTACATCATAACAATAATATTACATCATATTGAATGATAATGTATCGTAAGAACTACAAAAACTTCAAACTACCCACAATTTGGAACATCAAAAAATCATGCGGTACCATCAATGGGCTGTCCGAAAGTGACCTCAATTAGAACTACACAGGAAGTAGCGCAAGTCTTATCATCGGCTGTCAATCAGATCAAAAATGTTTTCACACAAAGTAAGTGCCTTTTTTGTATATTTTACTAATTCTGGTAAGTTTATACCTTATTGTGTTACTATATTTGACCTATAATTATTTTTGGGCGAATCGATGTAGAGAATGAAGTGCAAGCATGAATGAAGTTGAGTCCAAATGTTGTGAAATGGAAAACAAAACAGATCGGAAGGATGCAAACCAACTAGTTATGGAAGAGGAGTGAAGTGTACCACACGAAGAGAGAGCAGCCGATGCAATATAAAAATATGGATCATATTACAGGAGTCTGGTCAAGATTGGTAAGATATCCAACCGGAGCAGGATTGAAGAGAAAAAATGGCACACATTTGAAAAGACTGACGGGTGACCGAGACTGGCACATGATACTAAGTGGAGTGCGAAAAAGTGAGGTGAGTGTAAAATTAATCGACACGAGAAGTTATGGTAAACCAGACATTTCAAATTTATACCAAAATGTATTTCATATACAATTGTCAGCAGAAAAAAAACAGTACAGTGTCAGCAGGTACTATCTAATAGCAACAATGATTTCAGGGAAAGAACTCCAATTTATTTGCCGAAAACGAAGCAACTATAATAGACTAATATTTAAATTTTATATATTTATGATTCAAATTTGTATCACAGAATGTTATCGAAACAGTATTTAAAACATAATTAATTGCTCACAACAAATATCTCTCGAGCCATTGAACCAGCGCCCTAACTTTGAATTTCTATAGTTTTAACAATAAATATTTCACCTATTCATAAGAACTTATTCGTATATTTAATAATACTTTTCAATTGAATTATTGATAAACCTCAGCATCTTGGATTCATTTCGCTTCTTATTACTTGATAAGTAGGCTGATTAATTGAGCAACTAATTTCGATGGTCCTACACAAGCATGGAAAACCTTCCAGCTTATGAAAAATGTACTGAACTTGTAAGTCGGATAAGTTAAATTCTTCAATAGTGAATTATTAGAAATTGTAAATTAAATTGAATCTTCCATCTTTCTTAAATTAAAGAAAGATGGAAGATTCAATTTAATTTACAATTTCTAATAGAATCAACACGCAAAGGATTATTAATTTAGTAACAGGTACATTTGTAGTAAAGTAGTCGTCACCTAAATCAATGTGTTCAAGGAAAACGAAAATTTTAAGTCCTTATCAAGATATTTTGAATTAATTTTATAGTTATTCATTCCAGAAACCATGAATTGAACTTACCTCATCTTTTCAGAACGCGAGCAGAAATTTTTCTTGGCACCCATAGACACCATAGAAGCCACAAGTTCACACTAACATCCTGCTATAATTGTGGTAGAGGCTCTCAGGTAGTACGCGAAAGCTTTCAAGCTAGTACACCGTACACGATCACTTTCGGTTTCTTTAGTTATTCTCAATAAATTAGTCTCTGCTTCACAAAAATGCAGACCGTCTGTAGCACAAGAGGATCTGGCAACAATAAGCAACCGTTACCACACGTCACTCACTTCCTTTCAGAGACCCATCGTAAAATTCAAACGGTAAATGTAATTATCAGCACACCAAGAATAATATAGCGCGGACAATAGTAAAGAGAACCGGATAATATTCAATGTCAGTGGTATGCGGTGTCATCTGGTGATACGCGGCGACTATACACAAAAGTACAAGTACATTTACAAATACAAGTACAAGTAACACCTTCAGTTGGTATTCGATCCCAAAAATGTTTGTGATCCAGTGCTTCAAAGGAAGAGCATTTGAGACCCAACGCATGTAGTTCCGGTCACCTGCATAATTGTAAGTCCCGTCGTATTCATACTACGGTCGAGATTGGCAGGCGGTGACTCGTTCATGTCTTGCAATACGTTGTACCTATTGCGAGGGTGACGTGCGAAGGGCCAAACGTACCCTTCAGCGCGAGTAACCTTTTACTTCTTGGCGAACGGTTGCAAATTGATCCTAAATCGTTACCTGCACGCCTCTAAACCAACCGCAAAAAGATTGAGATTTCTACACTAAGGAAGTGCCTGGCGGATTGATTTGATCAAGCAATAACGGAAACGTTCTAAATGACCGTATTTGAATAAACCTCAGAAGAGCGTGAAATTATTGGTAACCACAAAACTAAACAAATGAATACACGTACGTTTCCCGTACATTAATAATTGTAATAGGGACCACTGATACTTTTCTCATAAAATTTTCATCCACAGTAAAATTCTACTCTCTTGCGTATTTCCACAGGCATCTACTAATTTCGCTCATTTTTTCAGTGTCAAGGCTCAAAAAGCGCGTATTAAAGATTCATCTTTTGATGCACCGACAATGATACATTCTAAAATACTATAAGCACAAACCAGATTTTGAGGATTTGACTGTAAAAATAAAGACAACATGAACAGGTAGGTGATGTTTATTTTAGAATAAGTGAAGGCACTGACGTCTAATAAAATCAAAATTTGTACATGTCTGTATTAAAAATGAGGTTGATACACTGGATTTTATGCTGTAGCATGGCATATTACAGATTTTCCTTTATCACAAGATCCAGTTAGCTTTTTGTTTATCGATGTCAGTTAATTGATTTTGCTAGTTGACAGCTGTGTTAAATGGCCTCCAATGCTTAACTGCTAAGACATAATTTTCGTTTTCCTCACATCTTGCTACATCTCTAGAAGCAAACTGTTATACACGTGCAATGCACAGGTTTGCGGTTATTTCATGGTGTTTTCAAAGCTCATGGTGAACATTCAACTCGATACCATTTTCAACTCGATACCTCACCTCTTCTACACAGAAACCACGACCTCGAAAGATTCATATTTTCGCTTTCTGGTAAAGTGAATATTTCTTGGAAAATATAATTTTATCAATTCCATTATTGTAACATCTAGGGACCCTAAATCTTAAACCATAAAATGTTCCAAGAAACTTCAAATTAACATTATAAACGAAATCAACGACTACTGACGAATGTTTCATATTATTGACAACTCAGCAGCAGCCTTTCAAAAATATAAGACAGAACAGCACAATTTTCACAATGAATATAAAAGAAAAAGTAAAGTCAGCAAACGCATATCCATTACAAACAAAACCTTGATTTTTCAAGAAAGAATGTTCCATGATGTTTTCTACCAGAAGAGAGCAAAAAGATCAAACCTCAGTACGCAAAAATATAACGTTACTCCAGTGAAAATGTAATATTTCAGAATTTTAGGTGGTGAGATCCACTCGCAAATGATATAGTGCGTTTAGGTACTTAGGTAAATACTCGAACCATGCATAAATGGGAGTGATATTGATAGTGTACTGTTCCACCAATAAATCGGTGCTCACATCACTCTAAACTTGACCGTGTTAACTTTGTATTTTTCAAAGCATTCAACTTAGCAATTGTTTTCAGAATAAATAACGGGAGTTTAATCTTTTCATTCAGACCAAGCAATTCTCGTTGGATGAAGCTTAGTGTTTTTTTGCAAAACTTTGGGTAGGACATGTTGAAGATGTAATAGCTTGCAATCCATACGACGAAGCCCTCTCTCACGCCAGACACTCGACATATTTCATTTCCTTGTGATACGACGACACCATCAGAGTAAGGCAGCGATGCGTCGCTGAAGTGAAGAGTGAATGAATTCTGATCTAATCCCTGTCCCAAAACAGAGAAGTTATTCAGACATCAAACCAGTATAAATTGAACGAATTAAGGAGCATCCTAACACTCTAAGTGAAAAAATTTGAACATGGATTAGATAACCTACATTTTGATAGATGAGCTTCAGTATTCATCTTCGGTCATTTGAAGAAATTATCAGTTTATTCAGTTATGCACATCCTATATAAACATTCAGTTATGAGTGATAAATATATTGTAAAATACCTTCGAGGCCATTGAGAAATCGACCTCTTCATTCATCATGGAAGGTATCTGAAGCAACGAAGTGCTAATCACGCGTTCTGGAATAAAAATAAATTTACACGACAAATAATAAAATGAGCTGCAAGCAATTGACAATAGAACACACGGAGAGTGGAATTGTGAGCAATAAAAGATTGAAGACACATTCTGGAACATTGGAAATGTTATTGGAGCAAGATGAAAAGCTGGGTAGAAATGCTTTGGCTCTTAAGATTTATAAGGATGCCACTTACTGGCTGCTTAACTCTTGATAAATGAAGAGGTCAGCTTACCATAATATTCATCTGGATCGAATTCAGACTCTTCAGGGATTGGTATTTCTTCGAGCAAATGGATTGGCCACCAATATTCCAACATTTTTTCATGCACGGTTCTTGACACATTAATATTCGTTAATCTGTAAAACTCAGCACATATCTGCCCAATGAATAAAAAATTAATAGCCTCAATTCACTGATGACACCTAAGTAATCAGGGCGATTGTTAATAAGATCACATATCATTTTGTGTATCTAGCGCTTACAATATGAGGCACACATATTTTACACACATCAACACGAAAAGGCTCAAACCTCAGTTCTCTATATTGAATCTTTCTAGGTAACCGATACAATACTTTGATGAATGTTTCAGACCATTTAACAAATTAGGAATACTAAACAAGGGGTCAAACCTGATTTGCATTGAAGAGAACAGGATACATCTCAGCAATTTGTGCTACTGTTGCTTTTTCAGTAATGATCATCCGCCTGCGATCGCTGAAGGTCAGACTCATAGCTTTTTCGAGCACTTCTTGATTCGGAGAAGCCTTTTTCAATTCATCAAACATGGATGAGCGGTGGCGTTGCGCCGAGATGACATCTTCTTCAGTGAATTTAACAGGCATTAAATTCGCAGCCTTTGTCGCGGGAGTGCTCGTGGGCACATCATTTTCAGACACGGTCGTTGTTTCATCATCAGGAGGATTAAATTTCTTCTTTGAACGAAGGGCCACGACGCATGGCACATGGCGATCTCGTCTTTGCCTGGAATTTCTTGCCTTCATGGACAGCATTGTCCTCCACATTACCTTAAAATGATAAAATGTCGGTGACTGAATCAAAGCCAATGCATCAAAAATTCACATAAAACGATCTACTGCACCAATATTGGTATTAATTGCGTTACATAGTGAACAGATACTTAATCATTCCTATTGACCGGTACATGCGCAAAATCAAAATACATTGTAAGTGAAAAAATTTGCGTATAATTACTAACCCTGGCGTCATCGAACTGGAGGGGCTGGTACAGATAAGGATACTTTTCAAGAAGACTGCATGCAACGTCGTTATACTTCGCTGACGTCGGATAGCTGAAAATGTGTTCATTGATACGTTGATTATGATAAAATTACCTTTATATTGAATATGATTCAGTTCAGAATTGTTCAAATAATTCCATCAGCCTTAGCTTGAATATGAACAATTTCACCTATATTAAAATTTTCTTGTACTTACTAGGTGTATTTTTTCATTTCGTTGTATAAACATTCCAAAACACGGCCTTTCTGCTTCTTGCTTAGAGGTTCTGCAGCACCAAGAGATTTTCTCAAGGACTCGGGGAATATATCTTCAGAGACTTCAAATTTTCTGGGCCACTTGAGTAAGTTGGATGACAAAGAGGATTTTGATGGTACATCAGTGCAATCAGCTGACTGATCCAATGTCCCACTGGCACTTGCATTTGTTGTGATCGTCGAAAAAGGCGTCAGAGGGACAAGGCTGACAGCGCTATCTTCAGACTGCAATTCTTGGTCAGACCATGAAGTTGAGTTCCTGAGCAATACAACATGAGATCTAAGCATAATGACACTTTTAATATTATAAGTACTTCAACTTATAATTTTGTTAATACATCCTAACATGTCAATCTGAACAATCAGCCAATAATTAAGAGAAATCGTAACCACCGTTCATCATCATAAATATACCGACAATCTGCTTTTGAGATAACAACTGGCAGGATTTCTCGATTGAATTGACACAACGTATTAAAGGTATTAATCAAATTTACTCAGAATATTAATACAAAGTACACAAAATAACATTTAAATTTAAATTCTGCATTGTGACGTATGAGTATTTGGTAACTTTATGAGTACCATAAACTTCTTATTATCAATTGATTACTGATTAACGAATTTTATATATAAATCAACCCCACTACTTCTTTTTGAAATATACAAATAAAAAATAAGTGATAACTCTAAAGAAACTTTAAAAATCACTACCTGATAATGGCACAACCACTTCAGCCTGCTTTTACGTGAAACTGTTACACACTTCACAGATTTCAACGGCGATGAATCTGAAACTCTTCCAGTGATTTTTTGCACAGAAAATCGTAAACTCTCTAATGGATGAGACTCAGTAGTCTCTAAATAATTTCTTTCCTGAAATTTGACAATCAGATTCTATGTTCATTAGCAAACTCTTAATCCATAAGGTATGGGGACGTTTTCGATTTCTAATTCATAAGGTATGTGGTTTTACGTCATTATCAAACTGATAATGACGTAAAAATTCTTCAGTAAATATTTTTTAAATGTTTGGCAAACAAAATGAATGATTTGATACACGTTTGCCTTCAATCCTCAGATGCGATTGAGCTGGTTAGTGAATAGTGAGAATTGGTTTTTATACATAGTTTAACAGTTTTACAGGCATAAAGTTATTTTGATGAATCATGGTTGAATTAATACGATGTACATCTCAAGCTTTGCGCCAAAAAGTGAACCATGCGATTTGTGATTCTGAATAACAGAATTAGCTTGCGATATAAAATTCAAATTAAATCACTAGTGAAAATAATTTAGAGGATATTTATGCCCCACAAATAAATCGCATTCGTAGCTAATTGGCGTTTTTTAATGAGCTTAGCATCACGTAACGTCCATCAGAGATATCAATGCACTATAAATCAAGCTTTAGCCACCAGACAGGTCCAGCACACGGTCAAGATAGATTCTGAAACATCCGCAGTGACGTTAGACATTAGATGACTATTTTCCATACTCGGCGAGCTTCATTTAAAAATAACATTTTCCATTCATCAATCTTTCATTTCTTTTCTTTTAGACGAGTTTCAAGTTAACATACAGTAATTTTCAGTTGTCCAATTTCCAAACACTATTGTTTCTTTTTTGCATAATAGAGTTCCTGTGACAATGTACAAATGAAACGTGAAAAGACCCTCTTTCCTTTGACGTAGCTGGGAGGTCAATATAGTGTGTAATGGGTTACGAGACACATACGTTACAGACTTGCAACTTGTCTGCCACTCACTGTGAAGAAGTAGGATACGAGAATAATCAGGATATGACGCAAATATCATCAGGAAAAAAACATAAGTAGCAGTGGTCCTTATTTTTTTCATATGACTTCAACTCCAGAGGCATTACACAAATTTTAATCCGCATGAAACCACTAAACTATGAGAGGACCCACAAAAAATGACTTCTCTGTTTCTTAAGATACTGAATAGGTGAACTACCGAGTTATTACAAAGTTTTACTCTTATTCAACTGACGACTGATCCTAACACTTCTAACACACGCAAATATAAAAATTAGCTCATTTGAATGGAACGAACTGGCTTCCATCAACGCCGAAAATCAGTTCTATTACATTCGCCGAAACATGATTGATATTAAATTTTGTACAACTGATGTTTAGAATCCAGAAGAATTAATATAAATGCCCTCATCACCAAACATTTTACAGCTTGCCACAGATACTTGAACTACAGCCGTACTACAGCTCGAGTACAACTATCAATATCTTGTCTATAATTAGTGGGTTCACTTGAAAATCGTCAGTTATTGGCTAGCGTAGTTACGAACTCGTGACTATTCTTTATATAACGCACCAGATTATTGATTTCTTCAACTGGCACTGAATCTAAACGCCAGCAGCAAACATATCTATATGTAAGAAAGCAACCAGTTTGTCTACTCCAATCTGAATGAATGCCAAAAATGAAGAACGTGAAAAAATTTATAAACTGTGCAATTATACAGTTGGCAGGGTACAGTTATGGCAGGGTGGCCCAGTGGTTAAAGTTCAGAGTACCAGGATTGGCGCAGAGAGGCGCGGGTTCGATCCCAGCTCTGTGCGTCAGTTCCTGGTCAAAATCGGCAAGGAGGCCGGGCGGTTAAGCACAGCAGAATTGTAGCAGTGAGATGCGAGTTCGAGACAGCAAAATGCTGTGAATGTTCTGTGATGTTAAGAATCGGCGACAAGCCCACGGCCTAACAAACGCTGAAACCGCTATTATATTATTTATTATATTATATACGATGTTTAGTCAAAAACAGAGCCTAATATAGTCCAGGTATCGCTATAAAACGATATTAAGCTTCATAACTTAAGTCAGGAAATCTACCATTCACGCTGTTAAGGTATTGACGTAGATTTATTCAAATAGAGACAACCCTCGCAAAATGTAGGGCAGTTTGAACGAAACTGGGAAATCTACTACTAATTGGCTAAAATTGTGAAGAAAAATTTATTTGATGTTGTAGAAACTTTCTGCTTATATTTTTCGGTGGCGCCAAAAGATGATAAATTCCACTCATTCAATTAGGTATGCAATTTTTCCTGCATCTTCCTATTGTTCTATGGCACAATTAAACATGAATTGCATCCGCGTGCTTCATCGTCCATTATGTGGTCAAGTGCGAAATACATTGTTACATCAAACATAAATAATATTTAGCGAACAAAATTAATTACATCTCACCGACTGCGTATTCTAAAAATAATACAATAATTTAACTCGTAAAATTAAGGAAAATGCGTTCAAATTTACATGCAGCATTTCCAACACCTCATGGTTCTCTTGCCAGTTCAGACTTTTCTCAAGCATTCAGAGCACGAATTGCATCTCCTATGACGTCAGATGCGGGAGGACTCTGTGACATATTACGTTCCTGTGTGAACGTCCGAATGGTTTTAAGCGTCTCGGCGATAAGATCATCAGAGTAACCGGAGGCCTCTACATCATTCTTAATATCGATTGAGGTTGAGGCTGCACTACTTTTCGGAGTTGCTGTTGGTTTGCGAATACGATGATCACGAAATCCTTCCCAGTCTGGGACGTTCTTCAACGCGTTCATAACGGCACGGTTGACATCAGCCCTTTTCACAAGAAAATGCTTCGTGAGCTTGAGAGCGGCTGCAAGAAATAGAATAATATATAATTATCTAATATACAATAATAATAGTAAAATAATACCAAAATAATAACAGTGACAAGTTTACTCATTTGTGATACAAGTCTCATATTTCCTTAATAATGCTCTTTTATATGGTCATTCAGCTCTGAAAATATTGTGAAATTAATTGTACAACATTCAATGTTTCAAATAAAATGTAATTACCGATAATCATTTCATATGCTGCATGGCTTTTAAAACTTTCTTTAGTTGTTTGACGACGGGAATCCATTCCAGTGAAGGAAAAACGCAGAGCCAACTCTCTCGTTAAAAGAAGCTTCATCATACCCCGGACGGTCGATTGAAGTGACGGTTTCTCAGCACCGGCAAGCCTCTCAACCTTGAAATTTGTTAACAAAACATTAGCCGGTAAGTAGTTGTACCCAGCATTCAATTTATTTTTCATATTTCAAGTTTCTACATCGTTTGCGCTTCATATCTCACAGAATTATATCTTATGATATTAGAATCCCTAAATCAACTACTGACGACGATAGGAGCTAGGCTACATGGTTTCAGCTAAGTCGTTGTTTTACAAACGTGTTTGTGTTATTGACGAAATGTTATTTCAGCTAGAGACCAAGTATGAGGTCCAATTCAAATTTTAGCAGGTCCAACTCGGCTGCTGTGTATTAGTGTTCAACTCCGTGTCCTTCAATTGTCACAAAAAATAAAGTTTCCATATACTCGATATAATTAGAATTTTCGGAGTGCATCATGAGATATGCAGTGACATCGAACAGGGCATTGAAAAAAAGGTGGATCTATGGTACGAAGATTCGAGGGAAAGTCGCGGAAGAAGGCGCCACATACGTGGCCGACTATTCAATATGAAATTTGCTCCATGAATTTCAATTGACAGTATCATAACAATTTCAAAGCATCAAGAGGCTTAATACCAGATCTAATACTAAATTAAGATCGATTACAAATTACTAGACACTCACCAGGTCGCCAGAGTTGATCAACTTCTCTAGTTCCTCAAGGTTTTTGGCAGGGCGTAGATTGAGGCATGAAGGAAATTGCATCCTGGTTGAGCGTTCACATCGTTGTCCTTTGACTATCAGATTTGTTTCAGTGCAGGTTGTATTTATCGAACGAAGAGTGGTAAGGATTTCCTGTGTGTGTTCCGGACAGCCAGTGCACAAACTGGGGATAAGTACCTCTGTTAGTTACTCGATGATATGTGAAAAAGAAAGAATTTGCCCAATTTGCATTGATGGAGGTGAGGCCCAGCAATGAAAAGTGCACAAATTTGCTACTCTACAGATAATCCGAAACCGACTAACAGCGAAATTTATACTAGATCAACCTTCCAAAATTTTGAGAGCCCAAACAAAAAAAGGTTCGATCGTATGCCACCCAGAAAGCTATGTTAGAAAAATACATTCTAATGGCAAGTTTTTGCTCGCCAAATCTTAATATTCCTGACAAATAAAAACGAAAGTTTTTCGCACTCCAGAGACTCCACGTTTCAATTTAAGGACACATCCCCCGAGTTGACACATAAAAAGAATAACTGGAACACTTTTTCAATAGACAACAGAAACCATTGAATGGCGATCCATAAATTTTGAAATACCAAGCAAATGTGTAAAAAATCTTGTCATGAATGGATTGCGAGAGTTCTCATTTTTAGAATCCCATTCAAAACACTAAAGTGGTCAACGTAAAGAAATGAAGAACTTATGCGATTGCAGACTTTAATCTCCATGGCTTTTCTAATAAGTATTGATTTATTATATAAGCTATCGTTCGGAAATTTTGAAAGTACTTTCAACATTTCATAGATCAGATAAATTCAATGTGTCAAATTTCATTCATGTTCAAAATAACAGCTTGCGGCAGGACACAGTTGCAGTACGTACATATTCAAAATCCTCAACCATTAACGCCAGTAATTACCTCGAGAGAATTAAAATAAATTTTTCAATTTTAGGGATTTATTGAGGTATCTTCTAACGAATTTTAGAGAAAAAAATTATAAATTTTTTATTACTACTCGAAATGCAGACCGGCAAGAATACTTGCCACCCGACAATAAAAAAAATTATACGGCAAAATGAAGAGGAAAGGTAGAAAAAGGAGAAATTATAAGTACTTAAACGGATTAGCTAATGAAATGATGAAGTCTCTCACTTTGTTATTCACTTCAAGTTCATATTTTAGTGTGAAAAGTTTTCAAGCACTTAGGGTATACAGGAATGTTGCACACGCTGCAAAATTAAATGGTACGGGAGCCACATTCACGGCATCTGTTGTACAGACTCTTGCCTTTATGTGCTACGATGCTGACTGCCGTACCGATTGTATTCACAACAGACACTGGAGCTGCACCTGCGTTGTCCAAAACCGCTTCTCAAAAATTTCTCAACTAACTGCTCCTCAGGTACATCGCTAAAATCCGATACTAGATTTTCAACCTTGTTTCATCAATGTGCCACCTACAGACCACTTTTTTCAGTTTCTACGGTTCAAGGCAAGTTGAGGTTGTATTGGATGCTATTTCGAGTTGATCGTCATCTACAGAATTATTCAGAGCAATCTAATTGAGCCAGTTCTCGTTGGAAGGGACTCTGGATTTCACATAACTTCATCATCTGATGCATTGCTGTCATGATCTGTGACAGCATCAGGAATTTCTTTTCTTCTTGGAGGCTCCATCGCTACTCTGACATCGTTCTAGTCGTCTACTTTTTCTTCTAATAGGAAGAACTCATGTGTCCAAATATATGTGTCCCAATATCACTAGTGGTCTTATAATATTAGAATCCCAAAACTGCATGCATATATCAATAGAACATTTGTTTAGGAACACTATTCAAAATGATAGTTGTAGCTATTAGATACAAGTGGTAACCTACGTTTTTTCCTGACGTAATAGCGCCATTGCTCACAGTAGCAATTTTAAAGGCCAATCGAGCAGGCATGAAGCACATAACAACGCTGTTACTCGTTGAGCATGTTCAATACTCGTCTCACTATCGTGATAGTCCATTTCATAACACCACATTCGTAGTTTTGGAAAAATGACATTTATCTCATTTGGCAAGTATACTTGCCCAGCGGCGTTTATATGTTAAACTCTGGATAATTACTTGGACGAGCGCACGTATCTGTTCAAGCAGAACGGCGCCGCCTCTTTCGAGTGTCTGCCTTATCAGCCATCAATCGCTCGTTATGTGCGAACGATGGCCTTGACGGGTAACGGGGAATCAGGGTTCGATTCCGGAGAGGCAGCCTGAGAAACGGCTACCACGTCTAAGGACGGCAGCAACATAAGTTTATCATAGATTAGTTATTAGATCCATATTAGAGTTTATTAACACCTCTTCATACCAGACGTCATAGGTGGCGACACGAGTCTTAAACCACAGCACAACGTCGAAATAATTCTGGAATAGAGATTTTCATGATGCACATACCAAGTTTGGTCTACAATTCAGCGCAAACACTACTAGTTCCTAAACCTACACAGGGGCACTTCTCGGGCGTGTCGATCAGGATTTTTATCATGCCGATGTTAAGTTACTGGCATAATTAGGAAGACAAGTTTGCATCCAATCGCCTGTCATCAAAATATTTTCATTCCGAATGTTGCGGTACTCGCGCGTTCAGGTCTCAGATCAGGTGAAGTTTGCTCTATCCCGCTAATCCCATGAAAAATAGGTGCTATCTGTACAATTGGCCGCACTATAAAATGTGTATAGCACCTATAAATGTAGGTGCCATCTGAAAACGCGAAATTTTATTGGGGAGCTGTTCTTTTAACGCTAGTTTCTTAAATAGTGAACTAGGTACTATCGAACATGAGAGCTTCACGAGAATTCAAACCAAATCATGAGAGAAATAGCCTTGTTCTCGTGCTGCAGCACGCGTCACTACACAGAGCCAATTCAAAAATATTTCAAGGAATACATGTCGAATGTATCATTGTGAAAAGAACGAACACTACACATTTAACTCCAATGTTGTTCACAATGTGACACAGGTCGCAAAAAAATTCTAAATGAACACCTAAAATCATGTCTCAAAATGCATTAGCGGGCTGCCATTTTATTTTTTTAAAGCTCCGTTTCACGGATCGTCAAATGGATAAATCTGATGAGTAGTATAACTTACGCATTCGACTTAAATCAACTATCTTACCGTAAATCGCAAAGGAATAATTTGGTGACGCATGTCACATAGCCATTCTTTCGTAATTTCGTAATGTTCTCCATACACAGCTTCCCAAAAATTTTTACGATCTGAATTGTGAGCTCGTGATTCAAATACCAAATGCGCATGCAAGTCTAAAAGAGCTGTATGGTGTGCACCTCAAGCCAATAAATTGTACATATCTAACCTAAGAGGGACGAAATTCAACTCCGGACCAACCCCCAGGCTCTACACTCAACTTGAAGATACAACTTGCAAGTATAATAAAAAACGTGGGCTATTAAGATCTGGTTAGTGATGCGAAAACTCGGAAAGAAAAAATCTAATATGTATAAAAGTCAATAGCGAGGATATTTGCCTCGAAGACTTAACATAAAAATATACTCAATAAAATCTTAACGCAATCCGGCAAGTTTTCACATGGCGCATCGCAAGAGAACCAATTCGTAAGAATTTACACAACTCATTTGTTCATGGCACGACCACCAAACCTGACTCAAAAACTCTCAAATGCGAAAATTCTTCTAATGAATAATTCACTAGGCAAGTTATGGGTTTGTCTGAAATACATCACGCTTATTTCCCTTCAATTTCACTTTATGAGATCATCCTAATCCGAGTCGCCCTGAACACGTCAGCAGTGATTAGTTTGTGGGATAACTGAATTCCACTTTACGGTTCTCAATTCAAACGTTCCACTCGGCACGTGGTACACGAATGATTAATCAAAGAGAATCAATGCTTGCGAATATTTATTGAAAACGACCTTATCAAAAACCAAAACATTTCCCGGAAGCCAAGGAGGAATGAGCCAAAATTGAGTCTTCTACAACGTTTTGTGGCACAAAGTTTTTATATCTAACTTAAGTGAGTAATAAAATAATTAGAAGCTATGCTGCTACGATGACAAGTGAATAATAAAACAATTACAAGCTATGCTGCTATGATGACAATCAATTCAGAACTTCCTTTCACCCAAACCTGACATTCATCGAGGCATCCCAATCCTTTTCCGCACTTGTTACGAGTCCCATAATTATTTTGCTAGTACGTCGAGCGTAGCGCAACTTTTCAAGATAAACCACACTCGCAGCAAGTCGCTTTCAATTCTTGCAACTTTATTACGCTTGCCAACTTACATTCAGTCTTATTACACATTCACTTATTCGTTCAATACACTAGCAGGTGGTCGCTTGCCGCGATAGCATCTATTCGTCCATCGCATGTTCACAGATCCACTCCCTCACCCGACATCTTACACTGAAACGTTGATTTCAAGTGCAATCCGGATTTTAGTATTTCAACATCAAATGGCGTCGAATATAAAAAAATACGAAACCCTTTGATAAACCGCCGAAAGCTGATTGACTTTCTATTTTTGTTAGTTTAATCAAGTTTCAAATACTATTCCAAGTTGAAATTCGAGTCATGTAAACGCTAAAAAATGTTCATCACTCCAACATTGACTGTTGCTTCAAAATCACGTTTCATAAACGTTAGTTCGGCATCCAAAAACATGATTCTTAATTTTTACTACAGTTCAGCGTTATTTTAAAATCGATGTACCACCATAAACATATCTCTATAACCTCGAGATTGTTGTTCATTATTAAGTAAATATTTACACAAGTATATTCCAACGTAGAACGCTACCTACAACTGTTGCACTCATCGTTTACCCGAAAATCACTTTTTTCAGAAAAAAAAATCGTCAAAAAGTAACCATGGGTTTATTTTAACTAAATTTCAATGTCGCTCTCAGATCGCTGGAACTACGTAAGAATCTAAATAACGAAGATGATAAATCTACTACCTTGTTCTTTCAACCATAATGTTAATATTTAGACAAAAATTTGCTCTTTACTGAACCAAAAATGCACCCTCCTACGTTAATGTGGCTCGCTGAACATACCCTACCTGAAAATTCATTTAAAAACTTGTTTAAAAACCATTTTAATTCGTGATGTGCAGCAAAAACTATGTTAATAACAGTTTGAAGCAAGCGATAAAAATTACGAGATAATCAACACATTGAAGATTCGAAAGTTTATAATTTCACTACATTTTTCAAAATAGAGACTAGTAAAATAACTAATATTTACGAAATTTAAGTAGGGAAATAGCTATTGCTAAATAGAGTAGAATAGAAATACAACATCATGAGAATAGAAATACAACAACGATCTCAGGGAATGGAGTTACGAAATGAGATTTCAGGTTACTCAAAGTAGCCTTCAGTATACAACGGAGCGGTTAATTACGTAAATAATTTCTCAAAGCTTCCTGTGACATATTTACAGTCATACTGCTTTTAATGCAATTCTAATAATTAGGGGGAATATTCTCTGTGGGTGAACATTCAATAACTTATTCAAATGGATCTTGTTGCAACACCATTTGAAAGTAATTAGTCGAAAGACAAAGCGACGACAAGCCCCCCAAAAATAATTATACGCTGCAATCCGACATTTCTCAATTTTAAAACCAATTCGGAAAGCAACACGACCTACAATGATGTAAACGCTGAAGCTATGGCCTTAAAAAATAAATTCAATGTTGCGACGTAAACACAACGTGTAAGAATAACGCTGTTCCAGTTTTCATGACAAATCAATCATGAAGAAGATGCAAATTATGTTAAATATTGTAGAGTCGTCGAAAGTTTTATTGTTGGATGCATCTCCCCTAATTTCACGCAGCATATGACAATACACAATATTACGATGAACTTACAGCAGGTCAATGATGAATACGAAGAACGCTAGGCATGCACTAAATAACGAATAAGCAAATATTATAAGTCGACCTCATCTTAAAGTTTAGAATAGGCCCGAGTATTATCTTGTCGAGAACATTTTTTCCTGCACTACGTAAGTATGGGAATACTTAAGCATAAAATTAAGGGGCAGTGACCGACATGTAGCTTAGATTTAAATTTTGCACCTTTTTAAAATGTCTAATGCCATATTTATGATAAAATACTTAGTGAATAATAATATTGGAGCCACGAGAAGCGAACTTGAACACCAGGGTCCATACTTTCAAAAAAAGTTAAGATATCGTAAGTTCATCAGCCAATCATTGACGGCCTTGCAAGCAAAATCCACCAATCATAGACAAGAAAATGGAGCGTAGGTACTTACGTTTACTTAGCGAGTTTTGAAAGTATGGCCTCAGAAATGAAACAGGGAAGATAATTAAATCCATCATCGTCACTTAATTATTACAGAATAGCTTCTAGTCATTAGGATAGGAATAAAAATTCAATCTTTGATTCCACAAATACGGTCTCTTTGTTGTTTAGAAGGCGATAAGTAAAAAGTAACGCATTTGCAATTAATTTATCACTTGCTGTGTGTAGTCTTTATTTAGCAAATCGTTCAATTTGATGGTCAGAGCAGTTACAGCCATAGGAGTTTTAATAGAATCCTTGACCCCTAGAACTGTTTTCTGCAAGAAAGTTAAAGTGTTCTTATAGCATGACGGGTAAGAGCGGTTCAGTATGTAGTAGAGAGCAAGCCAGAGAACTACGCCTTTAAGAAGACCTTTGGTACTACACACATGAATTTTATCAGCTACAACTTGAATTGTTGTGTCAATAGCTGAAACATGGTCATTAAGCCTTCTTTCAACGGGTGGGAAAGCAGAAGAAAGTGCCTTGTCAACTGTCGATTTCCATTCAGCAAAAGATTCCTCAGAAGTGTCTTCAAGAAAATGAACCGGAGCGACGGCAGAAAGAACGCTATCATGCAGCGAAATATCAACGGAGGAGTTGGCGGTAGGTAGTGCACCGGCATCTTGTTCATTCATAGCAGGACCCTCGAATGGAAAACTGCCAGAATAACTTCCATCAACTGAGGTTGCACCGGGTGTGGAGGCCCAAGGAAATTCCACCAAAAGATAGGGCGCACGATCCTGCAATTGAAATTTGCTGTCCCATTAACTAAAAATGGCTTTTTCGCATATTATATCAATTACTTAGGGATATCCATAGATTCCATTATTCTACCGACCCAAATATATATCAGCTCTTTTCACGTCCGTTACTTCGCTAACTTGTAGTGAGGTAATCTCACAGTCAATATAAAAAAAATTGCCTGAATACTATAAATACTAAACGATGGAATACTCATCAAATCCAGAAGTTGTCTCTCCATATTAATTGCAGAATCTTTCGACAATAGCAATAGTAATCAGCTAGAATTGTAACTTGACCTCGAGAAAGTTTTCTAATTGCAAACACAGAAAGGACTCGGATGACCTATGTCCAACTGACATCGTTAGCAGGTGATGCTGGAATAGCGCACCCAAGCTGACTTCTTTCCTTTAGTAGAGAAGGCAGATGAAAAATAGCTCGACAGCAACGTCCCTCTGTAAAGAATTTGAAGTGATGATAATGGATCAATTCAATTTGATACCGAATGATTTCATTCCATAGCAGGAGTATTGAAATTCAAAGCTAGAAACACTATTAGACTATATTTTCACCCTATTCAAATACAAATTGATGAAGTATACATTTTTTCATTTTCAGCATGCCAAGAATAAGCAGTGGCTAACGAGTTTCTTCATCATTCTTGACAGCATTTTCTCCGCTTCAGGAGTCAATGAAAATTATACAATTACAAGTCAATCCGTTAATAAAAGCGCAAAAATTAAAAACTTGACTGAATATGACGTAATTTCCGATCATTTCAAGATGAAATAAATGGTTGACCTGATCTTAAACCAGTCGGTGAATACCTTTCAACTTCTCATTTGGAGGAGGGTCCAGTATAGTCGTAAAACCCATGTCGTCTTTCGCAAGGCGTAGAATAGCAGGAGCATAGGCCATTAGCCTCTGTGTCATCACTTCCAAAATATCCAATCCAGTGAGACGACGGAATTCCAGAATAATCTACGGAAAAATATTCAGTTTATATTCCCGCATAAGACAATTCTAATTGATGCAATGATTGCAACTGTAGTGACTATCATGATATAATCTCACAGAAGGAATTTTGTTTAGAATTCATTCAAACTAACCTGTTGTTCATCAAACAGATACGGGAAATCGTTCTTTAATTGCTGAACATTGATCATGCCGGTGACAATAAGCCGGCGCCGGTATGGAAAAGTTTTGTTCATTAGGTCATTGATCTTCTGCCGATCGTTCTCGTTATTTTTGAAGTCATTCAACATGACTTCTTTGTGCTGCGTCATTTCAGAATCGTCATCCGCTGAACAATCAAGAGTTGGACAATTTACCACGCCAAATGTTTGTTTACTTTTAGGAGTGCGCTTCAAATGATCGTCGATCTGACTTGCACTACTTTCATTTTGAGATGAAGCCGAAGGCTCTGCAGTCTTGACCATCATGGATTGTCTTCGTTTACGGTAGGCCTCAACAGCTGGTACTTCAAGATCTCTCCGCTTTCTTGTGTTCCTCAGTTTTTCAGACAAGCGGGTTCTCCAATAGATCTGGCAGCGAATTCAAAAATTAAAATTCCGACAGGACTTCCATCAACTTTTTAAATTAAAACATGTATAAGTAGCAATGCATATTCAATGTTGCTGTCGTAAATAAATAAATATGATTTCAGTGCTTTAAAAACTGTATTTTTCATAAGTGATGTTTTTTGTCGTTTAAATAAAATCCAGTATCCACTTCAACTCACCACCGACTCTGCGAATGGAAGCGGTACCAAATACGGATATTTTTCAACAATTTTTATAGCGATGGACTTGTATTGACTTGGAGTGGGGTAACTGAAAGGGAAAAAGCTTGTTGCAATAAAACGAATGAAAAACTCTGCACTCCAAAAACAATCCCATACTATTATTTTTGGCAAATACAATTGTAAAGCAACAAAATATTTCACAATTATTGAACCGCTAATCAATGACATATTTTTCAAAGCTTAAACAAGCCTGGAACCTGTAGCTAGCGGGATAGTTAATGACGATTGTGGCTATCGAAGGCTTGATTCAGACTGATCAAGCAACATGAAACTTACAAAGTAAAGCGGGTAATTCCGTGGTATAGATGGTCCATTAAGAGGGTCAGGTGCGCCTTTTGAAGAGCTTTCTGCTGATGAAGTGCATTTCTGAGGCTAGGGGGTAATGTTGTTTCATCGATTAAAAATGTGTCAGCCCAATTACCCTCATCGTGGTACTGAGCGTAGCGTGACTTCTTCGCTTTTCGAGAATTAGTGTAACCAGGGAAACTTTCAAAAACTGTAGGAAAGGTGATGTGTTCTGATAAGCCCAAAGATTCACCAGAGCCAGGCACCTCTGTCATCTCAGCTCTGTTGAAGAAACAATAATTCAGATAGAGTGCTCTCTTTACCATCTGCAATTATCAATGGTTCTCGAGGCTTGATCTTCTAAACAACACAAAAATAAAGGAGACTTCTAAACCTTCTAATGATAGATATATGGGAGCAGAATGTAGTTGCAGGCCCCATATTTTCTACACTGAACTAATTGGCAGTTGCTAAGAATGTATCTTATGTGGCGCATATTTCAGATAGACATGATATTTATCATGTTTGTTTATAGGTTTTCTTAATACGACGAGAAAGTCAACTGGTTGAGCGTCATTCGTCGTAACATTGGGAATACCGATGGATGAGCCTCAGAGTAGTCTTTAAAATCTTCATCACACACTCTTCGAAAAACCCACCGTATAGAATAAGGCTGAGCGGAGTTTCAACTGCCAACCTAATACACCCGAGTCATACGTGCTTTTCTAAGACCAGTACTAAGCTGACATGCGGTCGAACGCGAACACAGAAGCTTAACATCAACATAGACTTGGCATCAACTTTGCTCGTGAGCCTCAACAACTTGTGTAGAATAGGTGCATTATGATCACATTATTACCATCGATCCGCGTAATACAGCTCAAAATGGGCGTTATGTTACACACAATTCAGCAGTATTAATGTCACTAGATTGCTTAAATCGCATATTCACAAAAAAAAAATAAAAGAAAAACTCCGTAAAAATTCACCATATAAAAAATTCACTCTATTGAAAACTTTTCGGAGTACAGCTCCATCGTCAGTTTGAAAAATCTAGAACACAAATACAATCAGAAGTTAATGCAGTCTAAATTCAGAAATAAAAAATACAGAAGTTAAAGCTAAAATTTACAAACAAAAGACAGAGTAATAAGGTGAAAATCTATCTATTCACAATTTCCGGTGGATTTGATCTAAAGGCTGTATTACAACTAGGCCTCTCTTTGAAAATATACAATGATTCTAAAATTCAGAGATCGAAAGCACCTAAACTAGAAGCTAAAACCTTAGTCACTGTCGGACACTGGAACGTTGTACTGTTTGGCGTGAGTGTGCACAGCAGAATTACGAGGACGCAATAATAACTGTGCAGTCCTATAACTACATTTTTTGTGTTTTGCAACTCTAGAATAAAGATTGCGTGGCGTCATCGCTATGTACACAGTTGCACATCGCGCACAATTATCTTTATAAAATAGGCACTATCGCATGTGATATATCGCTGTATTTTTATTTCTGAATTTCGACAATCCATCAGTACAAACGCATATGAACATTTTTAATAATTATTTTTCAAATTGCGCCACATAACGCTAATTAGTTCATAAAATTGGTACTACAAACCACTAATCACCCATAAAAAGCCCATTGTATGTATATAACTTCAATGTTCATCGTTTCTTCATTGCATCTATGAAATTTCTAGTGTTCCTAACGTTGTCGCTATGTTCGCACAGTGTAGCATTTCAAAAATATCACGGTGGTAAATTTGCAGCAACGTGCCGACAGCATATAGCTATATCACCCAAATAAAAATTATTGATGGAGCCCCGATTGATTAATTATTGAAGGATAAAGGCGCAAACCAATGTCTTACATTGAAGGCTTGTCCGGCCTATGCTTCACCATTTACCTGCCGATGGAATGGACACTCTGCCATGAAATTTTTTTCATCAAAATCTACCTTTCGGCATCCATGGCGCATGGATGTATACTTTCGATGGCCACCTCTTGAAATTAATTTTTTTAAATGTTCCCTGTAGCACCTTATGTCGATGAAGAACTATCGTCTGCCTAGCCACTACACGCATTTCTTTCGTGCAACAATGCATTATTATATAAACTGATATGAATGGAATAAGACGTTCTTTCATGCATGTGAGACTAATCAAAGCTTCATATGTACGTCTATTTAGGTACCTGAGATTTCGATCTCTCAATCAACGAACAGACAACAATAAGAAGACATTCATTAGGATATGGATAGTTTCCTATCTATACCAGGTGCTACGGAGAACATAATTTTGTCGGGTATCAGAAGCAATATAGATTAAAAGTGTAGAAATAAAGAGGCAATTAACGTTATAATTTATTGTATGAGCCCTCATCTGTGCTTACAAAATGAACGAAATTGCGGTATGGAACAAGTAAATTAACAATACAGAGTACGATGGCCTGTCATGTCGGTCATCGCAATAAAAATACCATTCCTTATCATAGCCTCATAAATTTGCATCTCGTGTGTGACAAAACATGAGAAGTGACTGATGCTGAAATTATTTAGAACGAAAAATTTGCGGAAAACTTCATATAACAGGCTAACGGAGTTGCTTAATTCGCCGAACGATATTACATACGTTAGCTGAAATAAAAACTTGCACTCCCACACATCACCACACTAAAGTACCGCATCATCAGAACGTGATCTAAAGCAATCTATTAGGTAGATTTGGCTTTAATACTGGTTTACCAAATTCATACCGAGAATATGACGTCATAAATTAAAATAAATCGTTTTGAAATTCGAAACTGCTACCAGAAATTTCTTTTTGAACCCTCGATATACAAACTAACAAAAAATTTAGTTCGATAAATTTTTAAACGTGAGTTTACAAAGAAAAATGCTCACATTAAATCCAGCTAAACATATTACCCAAGCGTCGCAGTCAAACCAAGTTGCGGGGATCTTCGAATCGAACAAAATAAAACGTATACTAAGATTTTACAGTACGATCCCATATGAAATTCATCAGCAAAATAATTTACCTTTCAAAGTAACTCCATATTACACAAACTAAAATTGGGGAAAATTGTCAACCATATCATGCACATCGTCCCTTGGTGGTACAAAACTTCCAGCATCAAGAAGCATTTCTTCAGACGTGGACCACGATGGACCAGCATCAAACGTATCCCAACCAGTTGTCTGAGTATGGCTTGGATTGACTGCAGTTCGGCTTGAAGTAGCTACAGCCTCGCCAGCGATATGGCTTGAGTTTAAGACGCGAGCTGTCGATCCTTCTGGGCGACTTGGAGTTAGGGCATTTTCCTGATTAGTCTTAAGATTTATGGCTGCCCCTGTGGCGTCTTTCCTCTTTCCTCGTTGTCCCGACCAGTCAATAGCTCCTGTAAGACATAAAATTGCCCTAATTAATACTGCAATATGCAAAATATTCAATTTGTATTGTTCTGGATCACATGGAAAAGGAAATACTTGGGCAATTTTGAGACAGAAAACATGTAACAGGCTAAATTTATACTAACCTTTCAGTGCCAATCTAATTGCTGTTTTCACCTCGCATCGCGGTACCTGACTGTAGTCTGGTATTTGACTCAGGGCTCCTAAGAAAAAATTTAAATTGTTAATAATATACTTTGTTATACACATTATTGCTTTGCTTGATATACATGTTATACATATACAACAGGCATATTTTTCACGATGCAGCTGTGATTTCTCGTCAGTAGAAGTAACATTCTCAATTAAAGCCATAAGAAAAACGCAATGATTTTTGTAAAAATGTCTCACGTTCAATGGCAAGACACGATGGAGAGTTATCAAATTTCATCTTCGTTCGTTGTCGTCGAAGGCCAAGTCCGGTCATTGAAAAGGCTAATGCAAGTTCCCTCGTCAATAGGAGTTTCAACATCGAGGTAGCAGTCTTGTTTAGAGTAGAATCCTTAGACGTTACAAGAATTGGAATCTGAGAAGCAATTAAAGAACTTGTTCATTCTATTTACATAGTTAATTCAATTAACAACAGAGATGCACTTCCTCCAACAATATTTGAATCATATTTAACACAGATACACTTTGGCTCGAAGCCCAGTATAATCAACACCTTAAAATTGATCTTGTTATTTAATTTGATCAATTGGGCACATAATCTGATATCGAATTACTGATGTACGCGTAAATGAATGTTGTGTAAAAATTGAGAATGAACGATCGGAGAATTGATATACATTTAAATATTGTAAAATCATTCACAACACAGCCTACAGTTTTATACATAGGGAGCGACTCCCGGTCCCTATAGGGTATTACGAGTGCTATTCAGCTATCACAATTTATATCAATATAGCCATCGTCTGATATGGCACACTTACCAAATCTGATCGAGTCATTAGCGTTTGTAGCTCGTCTAGAGTCTTGGCAGGACAGAAGGTCGGTCGTGGAAAGGGCGCAACTGTCTCTTTTTTCGAAATATCTTTCAGCATTAAATTGTTTTCGAGTACAACAGCTTTAACTAAGCTGATATCGTTGATGTTTTTGTCAATCATCTTGATCATTCTTGTTATTTGTTCTTCCGCGAGGTCACTGAAGAGAAATAACAAGTAATGAGCGAAATAAAAGCTTGAGAATGTTGCAAGGATTTAGACTCTCTTAGCAATGTCGAAGTTCAGTTGAATCGAGAAATTATGACACGAATGGAGTCTCAGTGATATCGTTTAAAGCTAGAAAAATTTATAAATTAATCAACGTATGACGCAGTTCTAGCCCTGGTTATTTTGATCGTCATGCATACCAAAAACAAGGTAAGAGGAATCTGAGGAATATAAGAAATCTTTTTCTTACCCTATCCTTTTGCCTATATCCCGGTAACTACCCGTAGATAATATATTTGAATAGATTCGAATATATGTATACAACTCTAGTATTGCCTCCTTGATGTAGGCTGCATTGCACTATAAACTTCAGCTAACATTTCTCGGATTAATAATCTCGATGCTGTAATACGCTAATTTTTCGATATAATCGCCAGATTTGTCAATCCTTTACGAACCATAGGAGAGGTTTCTTCGACACGGCCGAAAAATTTGGACAGTTTACCAATTCTATTTTTACACTTACTTCGTTGAAGGATAAGCAATACATCGTGTTCTGCAGAAATTATTGAAATTTCATGGAGAACACTGTAATGAAGCTGCAATTCATTCAGATTTTCATTCGATGTTGTTCAATCAGTCAGGCTCACAATGCAAACTATCAACTATATGATGCAACCTAATGTGCGAGAAATTTCTAACCATAAACTAACACAAATTAGAACTGTTGGGAGATCTTCCACACATTAATATCTGAGAAATGTTAGCCACCGATCCAGATGCAGGAATGTCGGCTGCTAATTGGCGGTGCTTAAGTGTAGACGAATGGTTTCGGAAGATGAATGTAAAATTTCATCCCGAAGAAACTACCCGTGCACTTTGTAGCAGATACGGGAAAATTAAAGTTCAGCATAGCTATTCTACGGAACGTTTCTTCCAAGTGTTAGGAACTTTCCTTCTAGTATAATCAACAATAGCATGAGACAATTATTACTAGACAGGAGTAATTCTAGGTAAAAACTTGTGAAAAATTCAATCATTCTATAAAGGTAATGGCAATTTCTTACAAGCTGATCTTAGCTTGTATGAAAGAATTAAGAATCGCTCAGTATACATGAGTGGTTCCCAAAGTGGGCGATATCGCCCCCCTAAGGGCGGTGGAGAGATTTTGGGGGGGGGGGCGGTAAGGAAAAAGAGGGCGTTTGGGAGGCGATAGAGGGGCGGTAGTTCAAAGTCGAAGTCAGAAGTTCCAATATTTGTTTGAAGATTTGTACACAACATGTGCAGCACATGACTCCCAGCGATGATTTATTTCACCCAGATCTGTTTTTTTAACCTCTCCTGGGTTTACGTCTCGAACAAATTAACGGCCGGACTCGCGGCCCATCTCACGGCCAATTTCCAATTCAATGTTCAAGTAATACCTTTCTAACTTATGAACTTAACTCGATGAAACTTGGTACACGTATTCATTAGGACCTAACGGTAATGTTAAGCTCGTGAATTTTTTTTTATTTTGCCTTCATTTGTTTTTGCCATAGTTATATGGCAATACGGGCCGAAATTCACAGTAACGGGTAATCAAGAAATTTTTTCCAAACTATTGAGCAAATTCGAACGAAATTTTGAATTTACAAACCTCACTACCGAACGTTAATGTTTAGCTCATGAAAATGTATTCGATTGTGCCTTAGTTTGCGAGTTTTTCCATTTCACCTTCATTCGTGATTTAAACAGCAATACGTGCTTAAATTCGCAGTAATCAAAAAATTCCTTCCAAAACTACTGAATGGATTTGAACGAAACTTAGTATCTAAATACCTAACCACAGCAACGATGATGTTTAGCTCGCTACAATTTTTTCGTTTTGCCTTCGTTAGCTAGATAAACGATCATACGTAAACGGCTCTTGGTTAAACCGGCCGTTAGAAAAGAAGGTCGTTCCTCCTATATCTGTACAACTCGCAAACGAAAGCAAAATAGAAAAATTGTCGCGAGCTAAACATCGCCGTTGAGAGGTTAGGTATTTATATACAAAAGTTTCGTTGAAATCTGTTCAGTAGCTTAGAAGAAATTTCTTGATCGCCACGAATTTAAGCGACAAATTATCCGGCGATACGGGCCGAATATAAGGAAGTGTGAAATCAATAATGACTGTGAAATGAAAAAAAACTCGCAATCGAAGGTAAAATCGAAAATTTTTTAAAGCCGCTTGGTAGTTAGGAATGTATATTCAAAATTTCGTACAAATCTGTTCAGTAGTTTGGAAGAAATTCTTTAATCACTGCGAATTTCGGCCTTTATCGCAATATACAGTGGGGGGAAATAAATATTCGTACACTTGAAAAAACGTATTTTAATGTATGTAAGTACACAAACTTAACAGGAAAAGTGATTCAAATTATGTATAGAGACGCATAGTATTCAAAAATACTATCAAAAGAAGTTAAATCTCAATGCAACAAAAAACAATGCAACATGTTCACTTTTCGGGTGAAAAAAGTATTCGTACAAAACAATAAATCCGCATTATTTCAATTTAATACTTGGTTGACTACCCTTTATTCAGCTCAGCAGATACCAGTCTATTTCTATACGTCTCGACCAATGATTTGCAGATGCTGACTGGTATTTTATACCATTCTTCTTGGCACACCACCTTAAGATTCTCAATGTTTGTTGGGGACCTTTTCTTAATTTGAATCTTCATGTAGTTGCAAAATACGTTAACTATGGTTACTGATTACATTACTGGAACGTGCTACATGTTTCTAGTACATTCTGGAATGTTCTGGTGTGAAATATTAGTCAAAAGTTGTTTTGTACGAATACTTTTTTGACCCGAAGAATTTAACATGTTGCATTAATTTTTGTTGCATTGAGATTTAATTTCTATTGATGCTATTTTTGAATACAATGCGCCTCTATACATAATATAAATCACTTCTCCTGTTCAGTTTGTGTACTTACATACATTAAAATACGATTTTTCAAGTGTACGAATATTTTCCCCCCACTGTAACTCACGAATGAAGGTGAAATTTAAAATTTTTACCAGCTAAAAATCAACGTTAGGTTCTGATGAATATGTGTTCCTAGTTTCCTCGAGATGCGTTCGTTAGTTTGGGAGATATTACTTGATAGTTGAATTTGGAGATTGGTCATGCGACTGGCCACGAGTCCGGCCGTGAATTTGCACGAGACGTCCTAGGTTTCTAGTGCTTAAACAGTTAAAACAGCTTAAAAACATATTGGTTCACTAAATGGTGTTCATTTGTGAAATACACATTTGTGTTTAACATTTATCTATTAAAATTGCAGCGTACTAAATTTCAAGAAAGAAGCGTATGTTTTTATATGTGTCTGTGCATGGGGGGCGCTAGAAGTTCATTAGGGAGCCAAAGGGGGCGCCAGCCTGAAAAAGTTTGGGAACCACTGATATACATTATCCACTAGTATAAAAAGAATATGATAATCGCAAATGCGCAAGCCCTGCGTCATAATGAAATTTTCATAAATTCACAAGCAGAGTGCAGTAGTCTTTACGATAACAACGTATGATAGGTATAGCAAGTGGAAAATTTCAAGTGGAGGATGTTGCTTTATTGAACAAGTCGCATTTGATAGTTTGATTTCTTGCACTTATAGCAATATATTCTATTTTCCAGAAGCTTTTTCAGATGTGAAACACGTCACAATGCATATAATCGCTAACTGATGCAGAGGTAAGGTAGGTCAAGCATTAATTTTACAATCATTTACTCTCAAAATATTTATATAATCTACTGTTGAGAGTGAGCCTAAAAACATCTAATAGCTTATGAAAGCAGTTGATCAATTCAACATTGATAAACTGCATCAAGAAATATACAGGTAAAATGAATATCCGATCATATAAAAATACAATGGCTAAACATAAAGCATTCAATGTGCACAAAACATCTCACACATGTTTTTTGTCTTCTAAATGAGTTAACTTTAGAGCTCATAGCTGACAATATTTTGCTAACAGGGGCCACTGATAACTCATAGCAAAAATTATCGAACGTACGTGATACTAAATTCTTACATATTCTTCGTTCGGCATGGTTGTCTCGAGCATGGTGGAATTCAAAAGTTGACTATATCTATAGAAACACATGGCATGATAAAATAATTCTTTATAATGCCTTGTCAAGTCGGAACGAGGGACTAGGGTCAAATGCTACTTTTCATTACTGAAACCTATTATTGCAACAGCTGAGCAACATGCGTGGAACCGTTTCAATTAGTATATCATTATTGGTAGGTAATATTCTGTCCAATGCTCAGACGGATAGAAAAGGTACTATCACCTCATCGCAGATTATGTGATTACAGATTACATGACCGAAACTTCTTTACTATACCGAACCAAAATAATTTCGTGATGTTACAGATGAAGCTAGTTCAAACAGCCAATAAATGCTCGCATCACCTTGCGCTGGAAAAAATTCAAACGTATAATGGATATGAGAGCGAAGAATTCAGATATACAAATGACAGAAAATATCTTAGTTACCAAAAGTACAACAAATATTGGTAGTTACTGTAAATTACATAAGGTTCATTTAAAACGATATACATTGAGTTATGATCTAAAAGCTTTACTTGTAGATCGAGATCGTTCAATCGAGAAGCAAATTTTTGACCTAACATTTTACTGGCGTTGAAAATTGAGACGAGTTTCTGCGAAGTTCCAAATTAATTTGAGAGAAATAGTGAGAGGTCTCAATCGCCAATAGAAATTCACATTCACATTTTACCCGCATTTTTTGTTGACAATTCTCAAAGTTTTACTTGTATCAACAGTATCTTATTTTCTAATTCAACCTAGACAGTTTAATCACTTTTAAATGATGCATCAGATGCAAAAACTAGTCGTTTAGAAATAGTTCAGGTGTTTAGGTGTTCAAGAATGGAACGTTCGGTATTCAGTGATTTTAGAACACCCGTCAGGAAAGGGGATTTAGAAATTGAATCTATTTGGACGATAACTTTCTGGATAAAATTCAGAGTATTTCTATGTTTTTTGTGGTAAAAACTGTTTAATACGAAGCAGGAAGCAAATAGTACACTGAGCCCTTGGAAGTACCCAGAAGTTTTACACAGCACAACGTTTCCGGTCATGACTCTGCCTGCCATCACTCCATCCTCTTGTTCAAGGACCAATAATGGCTCGTTCTCACTATTCTGCTCAAGCATAAATATGATCTCATTTTAGAAGGATCATTAGATAAATTGTAACTATTGACTAAATTGGCCTTTATGGCATAACAAATTTAGAAGTAAAGAAAACGCTAATTAAATTTAACGTATATTCAATGAAAAAATTTTGCAGAAAATCTCCGTTGTGAGTTCAAAAACTTTATAAAATACAACAACAATCAATAGTGAAAATCAAATTTGGGTTTTCACTACTGAATTTACTTGTATGATACGAAGCTTTGATGATGGGCATGGCCTCCGAAACGTTTTCATTGAAGACACGGTGAATTTATTTCACATTTTCTTTCCTTTTAAGCTCTTAGTGAACTTGCGGTTTAAGCAGACTAGTGATATAAGTATTTATTTCAATAATAATAACTAGAAAATGAACCCTAGAGTTAGGGGTCGGGAAATTCAATCTCTCTGCATATGAGGCCGAGAGTTTAAAGCCTCCACACTTGAGTTTAAAGCCACAATCGCCAAAAAATATTACCTGAATCTAGAGTGAATGATAGAAATAGGGCAAAAAGTTAGAACAAAGTTAAAATAAAGAAAAGTTAGAATTAATGCAAAAGGTTAACAGAAACCTCCATTTCGATTCATTCATAGTTATTTTCATTCAATGTTTGAGCAAACTAGTAATTTGTCAAGAATAATTTATAAGTTTTTCTTACCAAAGTAATTTCAGTAGAGGATGGAAGTGTCTCTTTCATCAGTTTAGGAAGTGAGGCCATTGCCATTTCGGCGATAGCAGTATCTGTTTTAAATAATTAGCTTTTGTTAGGAAATCTGTCGGCTTTGCTCATTCGTGCCATTTTCTCCAATAAATAGTAGGTACAAAATTAACTGTACGCCTCAAAATGCAGTGAGTAATTTTTTTTAATATTTCAATTCTTCTATCATCTTAAAGTATGTAGTAAGTTAAGAATTTGAATTTTGATTACCAATATGTTTTTGTCAAATAAAACGTAAGAACACCTTTACAAATTCAAAAACTGAATTTTATCAAAATGCTAATCTAACAAGTACGTATAGAGGTTAATAGTTGTGCAAATAGTGAAGTAGAAATGGATCAATCAATGCAACATTAAATAACTTTTTTACGCTGCAAGTCTCCCATTTAATTGGTATATACAATTGAACTGGGCTATATTTTAACAAAAAAAATCCATGCCCTAAAAATCCAGATCAATGCTCTCTGATTCGTCAGACCCACATTTATTGCAAATCAATCTAAAACACTTCCAATATTATTGAAATTCGAAAAGAGCACAGTAATCTCAGAAATTCGTTTCCCGAAGGAGAGGATGAAGTTTCTTTGGGATTTCAAACTAAAAGGCAAATACGTTTTATGGTGACTAAGTTCGAACAGATCGTTGAGTAATTTAGGTTATTTAATTTCAAAATAATGAATTTTATCTGGGATGACAGGATCCAGATCCATACAGAAACTTGAAAGGATTATCCATCCCAAGCAAAACCAAACCAAAGTACCCATCCCTTGGCAAACCAAAAACAAACCTCTAGTCATCATCAACAAAATAACATTGAAAAGTACCTCACCATTATCTGCCGAAATCATTGCACCATCAGCAGTTAATCGAATGATGGACTTGGCATACTTCTTCAAAAAAACAGTGATTACAGCAGGTAAGTCTACTTCGGTTATGCGTCGGAATTCTTCGAGTAACTGCAGGTGGAAGGGTGCATTACTTCAACAATTAGATGGTGGTCCTACTTATAACAGATTTCATTTACATTCGGAGTCATATTCAACACATGCAGCTTAAAGAAATGATTCTTCTTTCAAGCTTGTTAATGTTTTTGAGATTGGAAAAATCATATTTGGGCTGGTTTCTCTGAAGAAAAAATTATGGTAAATAAAGTATGTGCATAATGCATAGCCATTGCCATGTCATATCAGCTACTAGCTTTTGTAAATGTAGCATAAGGAAAAAACTTCACATCCTTTTTAGTGACAACGGATACATTCACATCATTTCAAACGTCTATAAAGAGATGGAGCTGATGAAATGAAGAAATTACTGACCGACTTAAAACGGCATCACATTTACCTGATTAGGGGTGAACAGACATGGATATAACTCCTTCACATTTTCTGAAGAGGGTAGGTCGGTAAAGATATATCGCCGCCTGTCGGCAAACGTGCATTTCAGTGATGTGTTGATGGCATCATGATTTGGCTGCTCTTTCATCACCTCACTTTTCATAAACTGAATATGTGCGTTGATGCTAGCGTCATCTTCACTTTTATCTCGAGTAGGTAAGAAGTTGGGACATCCAAAACCAAGAGGACGTTTCCTTTTCAGTGTCCCCTGACATTTATTTGCTTTATATAACTGATTTTTCATCCTCATGTGCTCAACCTCCGGCAAGTCTCGAACCTCAGTTCTTCTTTTATTTCGCAACTTGTGTGATAGTCTGTACCTCCAGTAACTCTGAAAATTCAAACAATTTCTTATCATAATTGATAATGTGATTTTTTTATATATAAAGTGAACTTTTCTGAAAACAATACAGCTGTTATATGTTATATCTTGCTCTGTTCCGGATTTCCATTATCGCTAGTATACTCTCAGTTACTATTGGAAATGATTCAACAGAAGCAAATGTAATGCAACTGACCACCTTAACCCAATCGGAAAACCAGATGCAATAACATGTAACATTTTTTGTGTAAAAACAGTTTAAAGTATTGCACCATCTTAAGTAACTAAAAATTGGCTGATGTGTGGTAAATGATGAATGAAATAAAAGAAAATGTAATGTGAATAAATGATCAGGGTTCACTCACTTCAGCATCATGCTGTGTCAGTCCATTGCCAAGGTGAGGGTACATTGTAAGCAGAGCCACTGCCACAGACTTAAACTGAGATGGAGTTGGGTAACTGCATGTCAAAACAAGTACATAAACAGGGGTAAATTCATAATCACTACAAACAAAATATTAGAGGTAATTCCGCCCAAGCTCTGGGAATCAACTATAGAGCAGCAAATTGATATTATGATTGCCACGAACTCACACGGATGACAATTTGGAAGCAGAAAACAATTAATTGCAAAGAACTGCAACAAGTCTCAGACTTGGAAGTTGGAGACTTGCACAAGAGAATATCATAATTGTAAGAATTGAAATACAGATAACTAAACTTCGTCCAATAGATGGAATTCACATTAGAGATTGTATGTTTCAAAAATGGCAGTAGAAATTTATCAACAAAAATTGTTTGAACTTTTATACTGGACAACACACACCCTATTTTAGCAATATTCCTATTTCTACTAAAATTATCTCTTGAGTGAGATGATCAATTTTATTACTACCTTGTTTACTCACCACAGAATTTAAATATTTGTAATATCTGATGTTTTAAAAATGTAACAAGTCACTTAGGAAGAAATTTATCAAATACACCAGACAAAATTGATAACCAATTGACGGATATATTGCAAACAAATATTTCATGGGTACTATTAAAAAATTATATCAAACTAAAATTCATTAGGTTCACTTACATTGAATATGACAGAATTGTCTCATACAAACTCTGTATAAGAGCTCTTTGATGCCTAGGCAGAAGCGGAGTTTTCTTTTCTAAGGCTTGTTGAAGAGATGGATGAAATTTATCAAAATCTATGGGAAAAACTAGTGGCCAATTTTTATTCCTTCTACCAGAAACTCCATCACTTTTTGTAGAAGCCAGATCAATGGAACAGCTGGGTTTAGTTATATCAATATTGTCAATTCCATGTTGAAAAGCATTTAAAGATCCAGATAGACAATTTTTGGAGTTAGTAGCATCAACTTGCTCGGGAGGGCTTTGTTGAGGCTGTACGGGATTAGATGAGCATGATTGCAGCGCCACAGAAACCGGAATGTTAGCGGAAACGACATCCAATGTTTCCCTGAAATGAAAAGAAGACATGACCAAAAACTATGCTGAGTAAAATCTACTATGTGAAATTGAATTTTTTTGTAAATGAATCAAGTTTGGCCACTTGCATTTTAACAAAATTACCAACTAATTGGCTTCTTGAGACAAAAAAACAATTGCAAAGATATACTTCTAGAGAAAAGCAAGTATTATACCTATAGACTTAGAAAATGAATGTCAGAGCTGAGCCTGAAGCAGGATGTTTCAACCAGTGTAATACAATTATTGCAGAGCAATAACATACTGGGCTCAATATAAACCATTCACTGCATTAATGCCTCATACTTCAGTGCTAATAGCTGTTTTGTGGAATTTTTAATTAGAATAAAATTTTTCTCTAGTACAATAGATGGAAATTTGTGAAAATAATTCAGATTAACTCATAATTTTATTTTCATTTCCAAGACTCATTATTGACTTATAAATTGAAAAAAATGCTTTGCAAAACAGTTTTAGCATCAACTACCTACTGAAACTAATCAAATAACTAAACTGAATAAACAGCCTCACAGAAAAAATATGGTAATAGTTTTTTAATGCTCAATCTATGATCCAAATATTGCAGCCAGATTCCTAACATAGGTGGCACAAATCTTCAATAAAATTCCAGAATATATTTTGTTGTACTTGGGAGTGATCATGCAAGGGCTTTATATATAAATCATGAATATTGAAATATTGCAATAAATGATCATCAGAAATAGATGCAAGAACAAAAACAATTTTTTTCTTTTTTCTGCCTAAATACCATATATAGATGTTTAGCTTGCAATTTGTGTAAACTTCAAAATGGAAGTATGGATTACAATCAATTCAAATCTAAATCCAAAGATGGAAACAATGCTCATTTTTCAAGATATTAGAGGGCTAATCAGTGATAACTGATCAGGGCATTTTAAATTTTATGCTAGGCTTTTCAAGATTTTCAATCAGTTTATTATTTTTTTCAATCATAAATTAAATTCTTGAATAAACCCTCAAAAAAATGCCAAGAGAAATACCAATTTTTCCAGAATACAAATTATCTGGTAAATCCGTTCATCACCAAAAGTAACCAACTATTTTTTTGATAACACAGGTCAAAATCATTTGTAGAAAGATGTCAGTAAGACAGCTGGTGGGAATAGCCATACCTTCCCAACAATTAAAATAAGGCAAAACCTGTGAAATAAGTAAATATTTATTTTTTATTTTTTGTGTCACCAGGGGAGTTTGGATCAATATTGCACTTCCTAAATAATATTAGAATTATTGCTAGTGACAATAGTTCATGAAAGATTTTTATGCATTCAGATATTTTCAAGTGATAAGGACAGTGTACTGAACGGATTTAATGGACCAAATGAACTGAGTTCCTTTGGTCACCTTTTGTCACTAAATATTTTTGTGCATTTCAAATAGTAATTCTAATTGGTCACTTCAATCATTTCATAGCAAAAGCTCCCTTAAAAAATCAAGAACTTAAACAGATTGAATTTTCAAACAGAAAATAATACAATCGCTGTGAAAAAGAATTACGCAGAATGCCAGAAAACCATGTCAAAAAAACTTCACACATTATCATTATAGATGCAAGAAATAGTTTATGGCTTGTTTTTGGAACTCTAAATGAGTACTTGGCAAGCATGGGGAATCAGAGAGAATCTATCAACCCAAGCAACAAACTCGGGTATAACTAAATATCACTTATCTCAAAAGATTAAGTGCAGAAAATGCAAGGCAATTTCCAAGATGTTAAAAAGTTAAGAAATTTTTTCAAAATGCTCAAGGTTTAAATAGGACAGCAGGCCTTCTCCATTTATCTTAATGGATTGAAATATGTATGCATCAGTAATTTGATAAATTACCTTTCCCATACATAATTGATTAATATGAACATTGCCAGGTTTAAATTGAGCACACAAATTACATGGGTAGTTGTTAAATTATACAGCAGGTTGACAGTCAAGAAATCAATCTTCTGTGAAAAATTGGCAGTTAGGTGTGTCTGCAGATTACCCAAACTGCCAAGAAATGGGTATGGTGTTTGCACTGACAAAGTCGAATCATGGGAACTATCAGGTAAAAATGTGTGGTGACATATTATGATGCTACAGCAGACATATCAAACAATAAAAATGCAAAAGGGTATGTAGTTATTTTCAATAACACATAAATAAAATGTAAATACTTGATAAAAAATTCATTTTCAAAAATACTCAGCTGTTTTTACAAGTCATTCATTCCATATCGATAGCAAAACCACAAGCTTGCTGGTTGTGCCTGTGAGCCAGTCACAAAATCCTATTGAATTGGTTGTATAGTACCTACTGAACTTCATGATTGTGAAAAACATCCCACTGAGAAATGTTGAGTGCCTTATATATGTAGGTACTTCCAGAGTAGGTGAAGAATGTACAAAACAATCAAAAAAGAAAATAGTAAATACAAAAAATTATCATGTTATTAATTGGATCTGTATTCAAACTTGGCATAAATTGCTCAAATCAATCAGTGTGGCAAGAACAAAAAAGAAATTTGGAAGATTATTGGCAGAGATCTCTTCCAAGGGCCAACAAATAAAGAGAAAACATGGAATATACCTACACTCTTATGCCTACTAGATACTTATATAGGTACCTACTTATACTCTAGAAGTCTAGATAGCTAGAAATAGGGTACCTACTTATGACCTAAATTAACTATTCCTCTGTCCTAAATAAGCCTCTACCTTACTCTTCAGAACATCAATTGCACGAATATCATTAGGGCTGGGTCAAAAAAGGACCTCTATAAGTAATTATCATTAAATCACTAATTGTCATTTATCATTTTACATCAATAACAAGAGTTACTGTACCACAATGAATATATGTATCAAATGGTTGTTTAAGCAATACAAATTGTTTGCTTCAGCTCACATTCATGCTTCCTCCTGCTACTAGGAGCTATCAAAGTTACCCATGCTGCTAGCAAAGGTACCTTGATTGTTGACTAGAAGATTTTTTAACGAGTTCCCATTCACTTTTATTTAATCAAAAAAGTGGGCAAACTTTTCAATGCCCAATAAATTATTGGTTGAAGGTTGTAAAAAATAAATTTAACCCTCTAGTGGGCATGCATTGAAATATCCCCAAATTAAAATTTCAGAAACCATTTCAAGAAAGTAAGGCGTAGTACGTACTATACAAAATATTTATTCAAATGTATTTTTGAAAATTTTGCCCATTGAAGTTGAAATGGCACTTAAAGAATTCAATAAATGCAGTCAGTACACAAAATTTTTATTTTAATTAATATTTAGTTTATAGTTTATGCAATTGAAAAATTAGGGGTATATATTGATACTTCCACCTTTTGAAAAAATGTGGAAAGCATCTATTCCATCATCCGAGTCAAAACCTTTATTTGAATGCTCATATTTTGATCTGTGGACAGTGCAGGTGGTGGGGGCTATGGATGGAACGACAGTCAGATAATTAGTGATTGACTGAGGCATGATAAGGAAGCCTTAAAAACAAACAGAAAGCCGTGGTGGGGCTTTTTGTGAGGCAATTTCAAGTGATCATATACAGCAACGTGCCCGTGAAAGGGTTAAATAGGTAAATAATTTAATCTTCAGTGTAGACAAGTTTTACAATCACATGAACATGGTTTCTGAAATGTTTTATTTTATTCTTTTCATCATTAAAAATAAGCTATTATGAATCAAGTCAGATTGAGGATATTTTGGATCATGAAGAAGAAACTAGGGCATTTGCATTCAGTAACTCTAATTATGTACTTATATTATCAGTCTGCTAATATCGCAAGTTCACAAGGAATTTAAAAGCAAAGAAAATTCACCATATCGATATTGAAAACGTTTCAGAGTCCAGCTCCATCATCTTAACCTAAAACAACTTAGTCCCTAGGACTAAGTTGTTCCAATTGAGTCCAGTTTTTTTTATATATAATGTTAGGTCTTGTTTAGGTTCTAGGTCTGTCCTAGAATTTTGATATAATAATATGATTTTATTCATTTTTAGTTTTTCTAACTGATGATGGAGCTGGACTCTGAAACGTTTTCAATATCAATATGGTGAATTTGCTTTGTGTTTTCTTTGCTTTTAAATTCCTTGTGAACTCTAATTATCTTATGATCATATCCTCCATATGAAAAACTGATAAAGTTTTTCATCTGGACCAAAAAAAAAAACAATACAATGTCCAGAAAAAACTGAAAGTGATATAATATCCAATTTCAGTCTATCCTTACCCAAATAGCTCTTAAAATAAGCACTGTGAAAACTTACTTCAACAAAGAAATTGCATACATACCTTACCTTTTAAAGAGCAATCATAACACAGACCTGCATCTTCAATAGTCATGACAAATTTTTCAAATGTTTCACAGGCAAAAACTTTTCACGCTTTATCTTGAATTAGTCATCACTTGCAATATTTTCTGGTCACAACCTCAAGCCAGGGTAATAAACTCAACGAGAATAAATATTTTCTGTACACTCAAAGCCAAATAAGCACGAATAAAATTTGGCCAAAAATTAACAAATTTCCTTTCAGTTTTTCCATTCAAGATAGATTATTTGAACCACCATCACAAAAATCTTCACCATGCTATCACCATCACTTCTTTTCCAATGAGCCCAATACTAAATAACACCATCGAGGCTGCATTAACATTTACACCCTAAGTCGGAATTACCCATAGATTATTTTCCACCACATTTCAATTACAAAAATTTCCCGGAACAAAATTGTACCACTAGCAAATTAGAACATGAAAAATATGTCCTATTAGCAAAAAGTACATAAGAATTGGGGCCACACTGAGAAGGCTTTGAGCGAGCAAGTATGATCAATTTCATGACAGAAAACATGTTGATCGCTACTTTAACATTGTGTTTTCTTATGATCGCTACTTTAACATTGCTTTCTAAATGCATGGTGCAATAAATAATGGAATGGCATGTTCATAGTCATTTTAAAAAAGGCCCAAACATTAGAGAAACGAGAATTCACTGAATGCTTTCAGCATGGGCACGT